TCTTGACCTTGTCCTTGGCCTTGTAACATGTGGCTTTAGCCTTGCTACTTTTGGCCTTGTAATTGATTGATTCTAAGTAACCATTCTTAAAAGCAGTAAAACATTGAACACACAGAATATTGTTAAAAAAAAGCTATAGGTTTTACCCGCACTAAATTGTCCAATGGTCCATTCCGTAGGGGTGGGCGGGGAGAAATGGAATATAAAAAATATTTGTAGAATAATTTTAATATTTTTTATATAATGCATGTACTGCGCTAAACAAGTTTTAACAAATAAAGCATTTCAGGCACCGATTCCATTTCCTAATATTAAGAGTAGGTTATAACCAAGTATATCTAATTTTGATTTTAAAGAAACCGTGCCGTTAGGGTAAAGTGGGACAGGTATGGGATAAGTGAGTTATTAACACCATATTAACAAAAATTGTTAATAAAAACTATTAATATAAATTATCTATTAAAACTATTAATATAGCTATTAATATAACTATTAATAAGTTTACAATGTAATCTCCATCAAAATATTCAAGACGTTTCCACATTACCAATTTATTTAATTATTTTTGTTTCCACATTGCAATTACACAAAAGTCATACGGGAGAAATAATAGATTAATTAATTTTCTTTATCACCCCCAAAAAAATTGCTTTTGGAGGTACTTGCCAAAAATGTGATTTTTATTTTACGCAGGGAGACAAAGCAATGTCTGTTAAATAGAGAGGAAAAAATCTCACTGTTTACATTACATAACATAAGTAATCCTGCTCCAAGCGCCGTGCAGAGAATGAGTCGCCCGAGCAAATTGCTCGGGGCAAAAACGAAATTTTTTTTCCTACTGAGCTGGAAAGGTTTGTCATGGCTAATCCTATTCCCGTCCTACTGGCAATGCCAAAAGATACTGAAAATCACATATTTATAATGTCAGTTTTAAAAAGCAGAATGCCAAATGGGGAATCCTTCTCGCGAGATTGGCTTGTATTTAGCCCAGTAAAGGCAGCATTGTTTTGTTTTCCATGTCAATTATTTTGAACAAAAAACCAAATTCCACACTTGACTTCATCCTTTGCAATGATTAGAAGATGGGGATATGGAAAGAAATGAAAGAATCTTATCAGTCAAAATCCTGAGCATGAACATTCGAATACCCATAAACAATGCTACATTCAGTAGCGTGAATTGGATGCTCAAATAAGAGCTAATCAGTCAATTAAAAAAAAAAAAAATCCTCAATGAAGCAGACACCCGGAGCTCTAAATGAATTCATTGGCCTTAGTACAGCTGAGGTTTGCAGGCTTTTTTTAAGAAAAATGCAAGTCTGCAAAGTATTTTTTTAACTATGTTTGATGCCACTTCTGATGTAAGCCATACTGAACAAACTACGTTTGTCATTCGATACCTACATAAAAAAGAACCGTAGCCAAGACTATGACAATGGAGTCAATATTTCAGGACAATACAAGGGTGTTCAAGCAATCCTAAAAAAGAAAAAACCATTGTTTATATTCTAACTCTGTGGTTGGCATTCATTGAATTTGTGTGGACAGAATTCTGCCTCAAGCTGTAAAGATGCTAAGACTTGCTTTGAAACTGTTCAAATTGTATATACAATCTTCTCTGCTGGTCTACAACGCTGGGAAATATTGAAAAAGAGTCTCTTTGATGTTTCTTTGCATAAACAATTTGGAACACGATGGACTGAGAGACTTGACAGCATTTGCTTGACAACAAGTCAAATTATTGAATCTTTGAAAGAAATTCAGAGCTTGAATCTCACGGCTTTAAAAAAAACTGAGGATAGAAATGCCTTGAAATAAATGAGCTCTTTCAAATTTATTTTCATGTCTGGAATTTGAATAAAAAACCTCACATTAATTGACCGCTACAACCAGGTCATTTAGGCAAGAAAGACAACTATTGGTATTGAGGTGGCAAATATTGAAGCATTGATCAGTTAACTCAAATCTGTTCGGGAGAAATGGTCAACATTTTGGAAGAAGCCAAATCAGCTGCAAATACTTCAAAAATCAGTTCTGAATTTCTTATCTACAGAAAATTGAAGCGCAAAGATTTTGCTGAGGAGCGAATTAAAGGTGATGAATAAATCACAGAATTAATAGAAACAGAATCAAGAGAGTAGGCAACATTTTGGAGAACGGTTTTTTATCACATTCTTAATTCTGTATTTGGTGAACTTACTGCTCGTTTCACAGAAATCCAAGAAATCTTTTCTATTTTCTCTTTTTTTGTAGGAATATTAAAATGTTTAAAGCAGAAATCAAGAAGTCTTGATTTCTATTTTAATCAAGAAGTCTTGATTTCCTGCTCCTATTTTTTGCAAAAATGTTCTTGTGGCGTGACCAAAAATTAACTCACTGAAGAATCGCTTCATATAAATTAAATTTATACTGCAAACGTTGGCAAGAAACCTCTTTCCCCATTTAACTTAATAAACAAAAATGTTTAGAACTCTTTAGAAATCTAGTGATTGCATGGCGTAGTTTTGCTTCATTTCCAGTGACAGTGGCCTCAAGTGAACGTAAATTGAAAATTCAGTAAATTTTTTCAGAAGATCTTGCAAAACAAAAGACAAGAAAAATAACATTTTAAGAAACAAAGGTCGGACTACTTAATTACTTAATGTGATCAAAAAAATTGAGCAGGCCTTTTTTTTGGTGTAAGTTGGAGATTGGCCCCCTAACTGAATGATGCTCGGAACCCCCAAATCCTGTGTACGGCCTTTACCATAAACATAAAAACTTATAATAGTTTAAAAATTTAAAACAGTTTAAATTTAGACCATAAGTTGGTATATTTTTTTTTTTTTTTTTTTTTTTTAGATCTTTAATTCTATATGAAGTAGTGAGAATGTTTTTTATAGTTAAGCCCCTAGCAACGGCATTTTTAAAATCAAAAAATTTTCTATGCTCTTTTTATCCCAATGCTAAATTGAATGTTTAAAAATGTTATAATGGCATTTTTAAAGTATAATTTGCCATCTTTCAAACACATTTTTTGGCTATATTTTGCAAGAACAAAACAATATTAAACACGTGAATAATTAATTTGTTTGAGTTTAGTAAATCGATACTACAGTTAAAATTTAGTCATTGGTTGAAGAAAGTCAGGTTATAAACCTTTATAAAGAGTATTTTATGGAAATCGATTTATAGTTACACCACCAGAAATCATAAAGAATCCAATTTCTTCTTCAGAAATCATTATTAATGTGTGATGACATTTAGAGAAATAAGCAAAGATCATGCATTAATTTGATTTAGGATTTAAAAGTGACTTTTTTACGTATACTAAGACCCTATAAATCTTAAAGCTTATAACAAAATTAATAACAAATTGTTGAAAACATACATGGCTGCTGCTAATGCAAGTATAATCAATGCAGTTCAGAATGATCAGTCCAGAGAATGCAAAGCCAATGAAGATGAAGTTGTTGAATGTACTGTATTTTTTAATGGGAAATGGCAAAAAAGAAGTTATAAATCTAATAATGGTGTTAATACAGCAATATCTCGTACTAACAATAAAGTTATTGACTATGAAGTGCTATCAAAAAAGTGTCAAACAAAACTTGCCAGTCTTAGCGTAAAAAGTAGGGTTAGATAAATACTAAAAAAGGAGCAGTAGCCAGAACTGGTTAGTAAGCCACAAGAGACACAAGGAGATAGAGAGCTCTCCATGAACCAATGATAGTTGGTGCAAATGAATCAAACATTTTAAATGAATTAAAAAGTTTAAACTATCATTGTCTGGTGCTGTTAGAGATGTTTTAAAACCAATTTTTATGGAGCTAACCCAGTGGGCACACGACGTTATTTCGACGTTGATTTACAGTTGATTTTTAGTCGCGACGTCGTATAACCAAAAATCAACGTTGTATCAACGTTGAAAAATTTGTTTAAAACTATCAAATAAAATCGACGTTGATTCCACGTTAATTCAACGTCTATATTACGAGTTCGATCGTTTGTAATTGCAATATGAGAACTAAAATACGCATGCGTGACTTAAAATTTTTTATCAACATAACAAATAACAAGTAAAGACTCAACAAGTTACTTATTAGCCCAAAAAAAAAACAAGTAAAGTCACACATGCTAATAAATTAGGTCATCTGTTGCCTTTTTATAAGGTTTTGAATTTGACAATTTAACAATAATACATGGCTTAACTTGTGATGCAGTTAGTTAGGTAAATATTAAATGGATATTTCTTTATGACCGTATTATTTCATGAGTGTGGATTACAAGTAGAGACTACTTGATATATTATATAAATATAAAATATATATTATATATGTTTTTCTTATTTATATAATATATATATATATATATTTTCTTATTTATATAATATATATATATATATATATATATATATATATATATATATATATATATATATATATATATATATATATATATATATATATATATATATATATATATATATATAGGTACGTGAGTAAAAATTTCAAATTGTTTGAATACTATATTGTTATATATCATTAGAAAGGAGATTATTGCAGTATTTTAAAGGTGAAAAAATTATCAAAATCGAACAATTGGTTCAAAAGTTATGACGGTTTAAGTACCGATTTTTCTATATATGGATTTGTTGAAGAAACTGTGGTCAAAATAACATTTTTCTTCACTTAAATTGTCATAACTTTGTCAATTCTTATTGAAAAACAAATATCTTGGCATCAAAAGATAGGTGTAAGAGTGGGCTACAACTTTATGTTAAACTCTAACCGTCGGACGTATCCGATGAACAGAGGGGGCACCAAACCACCACCTTGCTTGTGTGAAACTGAACACTTTTTTAGAAAAAAAGTTTTTTTTTTTAAAACATAAGCAATATAAATATACAAAAAAATTGTTTTAAATTTATACTAAACTAAAATATATGAGAGGTGTATGTTAGCAATAATGGTGTGTGTGGTGGTGATGGTTTGATACACCCTTGTATCAAAAACGACTTGATTTTATAAATATTTATCTTTACTAAAATGAGTAAAATTAGTATACAATATAAAATTATGTTATACAAGATCTTACGTATACAAGTGGTGTTTCTATTATGGAAGGGGCGTATGACCCCCCCTTCCTCCCCCAACCTAAAAAAAAAAAGAAAAAAAATGCAATTACTGTTTTCAAAATTTGAATAATAAATTTAAAAAAAAATTATGAAACTGGAAACAATTTAAAAAATAAATTCATACCAGGCAACCACCAAATAAGAGAGATGAATGTAAAACTCATAATAGATATGTTGATGATCTTTTAGTACTATAATATCAAAAACATTTTTAACTCTTGAAAAATCTGATTGAATATTTAAAGTACAACAACAAAAAAGTAAAAAATATATTCCACTAGATTAAAATATACATTAGTGGTGCATACATAGTCATAAGAGAGTGGAGTATAAGGGAGGGCCTATCCAAATATATCATAAGGGAAGGGGCATTAGAATGCCTCTAACCAAACCAATTAGATATATATTACTTTAAATATAATTAAAAGTCAATTGGCTGTAAAAAACATGTCATCTTTATAACCAAGTATAGCAACTACCTATATTAAATTCTTTTATGTGATTATTACATTAACAGAAGTAAGGACCATACAGTATGGGTAACGAGCTAGCCATTCTGTTTGGTTAACAAACAAATTTCTGTTTCAAAATAAATAATAAATAAAATGTTAACATTAAAAAAAAATTTTTTAATTATTTTAAAGAAACTATATTTTAATTATTTTCAACAATAGACACCACATGAAGATAAGCCAGAGTCGTCTATCAAAAAATTTAACAACTTACAACACTTGCTATATAATTTAGGCAAGTCACAACACTAGCTGTATTATTTATGCAAGTCACAACACTTGAAATAGATTTTTGGCAAGTCACAACACTTGTTGTATTATTTATGCAAGTCACAACACATGCAATATATTTTAGGCAAGTCACAACACAAGTTGTATTATTTATGCAAATCACAACACTTGCTATATAATTTAGGCAAGTCACAACACTTGTGTTTTTAAATTCATTAAATTGTAACTCACCAGAAACAACATCAGCAGCACGCTAAATCTTTTTCATGCAATAGTCAGCAGCTTCTATATCAGTTTCATCATCTTTCCAGTAAGAAATGGTGTAAATGAAGTCATTTTTTCTTTTATTAACTTTGCCACTTGATTTTTTGTCTATAGCAAATCTCATTTCTTACTTTGCATCGATTCAGTCAATATATAAATCTGTTTTTACGTGCTACATTAATTGACCATTTAACAATCTTTTCTCTTTAACTTAAATCTGGAGTGTCTAGATAGTCAACAGTCTTATTCTTTTTTGATCTTAGTTTGCAAGAGATATAGCAAATTGTTGTATTAGGAAACCATACTTTTGCATCACTAAACATACCCATTAATTCCTCACTATCTATATTGTGAAGCTATGCACTAGCCGGTTTCTCTTTAAATGTCTCCGTCACAGTAAGAGAAGCTAGTAGTAATTGACTAAATACTAAATTATAAAATCATATGATAGGGATATAACTGACTGATCCTCTCTAAATATATATATATATATATATATATATATATATATATATATATATATATATATATATATATATATATATATATATATATATATATATATATATATATATATATATATATATAAACATATAAACCTCTCACTCATTAGTGAATTGAAGGTTGCTAAAGATAAAATAAATAAAGTATGTAATAGTTCAAAAATGATTAGTATGTTTTAATTTTATAATACCCTTATCTTGAATTAATAAAATTTTTTAAGTTGGGATGTATTAATAAGTTATGCGCTAAATTAATAACATTTACAAAACTTACATAGCTGATGAGTGAACTCACCTAAATGCAAAATTTAATTTGAAACATTTTTTTAAACTAATAACGAAAACTAATCTAGCATATAAGTATTTTTTAATTACCAAACATCTAAACAATTCAAACTTAACTTACAGATTGTTTGTTCTAAATTGGCTATAGAAGAAAAAAAAAACTCAATACTTAAATACTAAGAGTAAACATAATAAATCATATAACAGGAATAAAACTGACTTATATTTAGCCTTTCTCGATCAACTTCATCTAAACAATAATTAAATAAACTTTACATTTACAAAGCAATATAAACATTTTCATATACTATATATATTGATTTTTAATAAAACGTTTATAACTATGAAAATATTAAAGAGACAAAATTTTTTTGTTTAAAGTTTTGTTTAAGTTACATGTATTATAAATAATACTTTTGGTTATTAAATGACATCTAAAATGTATAAACTCAAACAAATAATCTATTGAAAACCTGGCCATCAGCTAAACCTTTGTTTATAATACATACAACTTTTATTAAAAAAATCATTTTAACTTTTTTAATCTCATTAAAATTTTGTAAAAATGTTTTTAATCGCTATTTTGAATAAATTTTTTTTTTAAAAAGGGAAACTGTTTCCTCATTTAAAGTTATGACACTATTTTTAATGTCATTAAAAATAGTGTCATAACTTTATAATGAATTAAAGAAAATGTTTAAATAATGGACTTGAATGAAATAACAAGTAAAACCTTCATAGTTTTCTTGACCCTGAGACATTTTTTACTAATTTATCTAAATCAAATATAAAATAATTAAGCAACCCCTCTGCCTTCCAAATCGGCATCGAAAAAAAAAATTAGGTACCAAAAGTGCTACTAAAAATAGGGTGCCTGCTACTAAAAAATATTCCATGAAATTTTGTAGGTGCATAGATAAATGAAAAATCTAGGTGAAAGAATATTATTGAAAAAGTTTCCAGCATATCTTCGACACTAATTTCATGTCAGAAGTACAACCAAGTTTTTGACATCAATAAACTCAGTCATAAAACTAGTCATTATAATTACAAACCAAACAGTAAAAAAGGTTAACTATTCTAGTTTTTAAAAATAATCTATGTTGATATCAAATTCTAAAAAGTTATCTGACAAAACATGCTTTTACTACGCTAACTCTAAACGGACTTCAAAAAACGTGGCACAGAATTTTAGCACAAAATTCGGAGCCGTAAATCGCGATTGTCACGTACCTAATATATATATATATATATATATATATATATATATATATATATATATATATATATATATATATATATATATATATATATATATATATATATATATATATATATATATATATATATATATATATATATATAATAATGGTGCAATTTAAAGTTTTTTTTTTTATTTATAAAGTTGTACTTGATAAAAATAAATAAATAAAGTTGAACATTTTGAATATTTATTGATTATTATGATAAATTATATAAAATATATATAAAGTATAAATATTTTGCAAAAACACTTTTATTTGCAATAACTCCTTCATTGCATTGTGGCATGCTTGCAATTTATTTTTTATAGTTTTTGTCAACTCTGGGTTATAATGCCAGATCTTGATAATCTCTTCCATAAGATCTTGCTTATTAGTAAGATTTTTTTTTTCCAATCTTTTGCTTTACTATTTCCCAAATGTTTTCTATGGGGTTAAGATCATGCGAATTGTCTGGCCATAGCAATACATCAACTAAGCCATAACAGTTTTTATTGTGTGGCATGTTGCACCATCTTGCATAAATATAAGATTTTTGACATTATTTTTAATACTTTTGAATTTTTTTGTCACTTTTTGACTTTTTTGGCTGGACATCAGTCCCTGATTCTTTTAGCCTTCTACAAATGGTCCGGTCTGACACAACAATTACAGCTTCATGGGTAAGCTTAGTGGCTTTTTTTCTGTTTTACAGGCAGATATTTCTGATTATACTGTCCGCTCTTGGTGTTTCCTTGCGTTTAGAAGGTGGTCTCCTTGGACCAAACTCTTTCCCTGTATCAATTCTTTTTCTTACTTGCATTACGGTTTGGTAAGAAACCTTTGCGGTTCGTGCAATTTTTCATTGAGAATAATTTGTATTTTGGAAAAGACATTTAAAACTTACTTTTATTATAAGTAGGAAGCCAATATATTCCTCCAGAAAGTTGATCACCAGATTGTCTTTCCAGAATAACTAACAAAGAATGACAAATCACCAGGGGCTAGACACCCCTTTGCCCCCCTCAGGACAGCCCTGGGGAACATGGGTGAAAGAATTTTTATTGCTTTAAATATTTTAGCTGCAAATATTAATGATAGGCCAATAGTGAATACTGAAGTTTCCATTTCTAATGATAGTATTGGTGTTAAAACTGCTCCTGCCATTTCACCATCGACATCATTTAATTTATGAGAAAGGGCTCCTGTGAGTTTACCATCAATATTATTTACTGTTTTACCTAAAATAATACGACTTCATTCCAAAGCCAGGTTAAGAATAACAACTAATACAAAAAAACACATAATAGGTGTAAAAGAAAATTGCATATTTTAACTGATACACCTAAAATAACAAAACAGATTATCTTTTAGTTTTTAAATGATGGAATTTCTGATGAAATTTATTTTGGAGTAAATATATTTACTTTAAGTAAAATTTTTCTGAGTTTTTTAATCATCAAGTTGGCCAAAATAAAATAGATAAAGCTAGATAGAGCCTAGATAAAGCCTAGAGGATTTATTTAGCAGAAGTTATAGAAGTTGTTGGTATAGTTTACAAAATTAAGTATTATAAGAAATCAGGAGACATTTGTAATAAATTTATATGAGACGATGACGATTTTACCATTCTACAGAATTTAAATATACATTATTTCTTCTAAGGCTTGTTTCTAATAATAAAAATTAATTTTTAGTTTAACAGGTGTTTCGTTTTTTTTTATATTTAGTGTGTGACAGCATGCAACCTTAATCAAACTTTTAACCTGACAAAGTGTCTCATAACTTGTAAAGTATGTTGAACTTTTTGTTTAAAAATAAAGTTTTTTTATTAACTTTTTTCAGAACTTTTTATTGATTAATTTCTCTACTTTGTGTAAAAATTTCTTTATAAACTCTTTATGATATTTAAAAAAAAAACTTTTATAGCAATTTTTGTAGGAGTCTTCAGAACTTTTATAAAAATATTATTATTTTTATAAAATTTTTTTCAAAAGTACATAAAAATGAAAGGAATTTTTTCCTCATTAAATTCTATTTTAGAATTATAATTTGTGTGAACTTGGTTGTTTATTCTACAGTCATATTAAAGAAAATGACACTGGTAAATATAAAAAGTTTGATATTATTTTTACTTAGTTTTAGCAATTTTTAATGTAACTGTAATAATAACAATGTATAATGCAGGTTGTTGACCAACGGTTTATAATCGAAATTTAATATGGCTGGCGGTAAAGGTAAAGAGAAGTGTAAAGGAACAAACATTAGGTATTTACTTGTAAGTTAAGTGTAAAATTATATATTTTTTAAAAATCACAGTTCGTTTTTTTAATGCTATTTTATTTTTAACTTTTTGATGTATTTGATGCAAATTACTCAGGCAATACCTTTTTTTATAGAGAGCGTTTTTTCAATTAAAGTGACTGCTACAGTTACCGAAATAAGAAAAGGAATAATAACTTTATTAAAATATGCACTCGACAGATCAAATGGTGGTGATCGGCGCGTAAAAGGCAATTCACCCGATGTATAACATTCATACTTTTTCCTAGTTGTTCTGGAACTATTGATAATAGTTATTATTGATAAATTGATAAATATATTACTGATAAATAAAACTTTTTTTTTTCAAACATTTTACTTTATTTGCATTGCATATAAAGTCCGTTGAAGCAATTTAGTTGTATCTGATTAATTTACGTGAAATATAATATCCTCTGCGCAAATTATTGCTTTTTTATTGTATTATTTTATTGCAATTAAAGTTGAGATAATTTTTTAGTTAATTGGATTTAACCAAAATAAAAAATAAAAAACAACGTTGAATTTACGTTGTTTCAACGTTGTTCTAACGTCTTATCAACTACGTATCAATCGAATATATCACCTATTCAAAGTTGAAATATGGTTGATATATAGTCGATAAGACGTTAGATCAACGTTGAAATGACGTAACCATCGGCGTTGTTTCAACGTCGTAGTTTTCGACGTCGGATTTTATTTCCAATTCAGCCAAATTTCAACGTTGTTTCAACGTGGTATATGGTCGGTTTGCGACGTTGTTTCAACGTTATTTCAACGTCATTGTGCCTGCTGGGACGTATCAATTAAAAACGCATAAAAATGAAAAGAAATGGTTTTTACTACCTAACATTATAAAACTATATTTATTTAAATCATTCAATTATAAAGGTTATTTTTTGATTAAATAAATAAAGTGGACAACAAAGTTAATAATAAAGTAGATCAAAGGTCTAAATAAAGTAGGCTACTAGGTAGATAATAAACGTTCGTAGATTTCTTGAGCTTTCTAAACAAAATAAATGAAATTAAGTATCGATAACTAGCAATATAAAATCTAACACTATTTAAACAAAAAACATACCAAAGGATCAGTAAAAATAAATGATCTTGCAGTGTATAATTTCTTTTCTTTTGTACTCTGTCTCATAAAGTTTAATGCAACACCTTAAGAAAAAAAAATTTTACTTTTTAAATTTGTTTTTATAATTTAACTGTATTAAGTAAATCGTTTTGGTTTTACGTTATTTTTGCTATGTATATTTTTTTATTTTTTTATTTTGTTTTTTTTTACTATGTCTATTTATATTTGTCATAAAACTAAAAGCCTTGTTTTGTTTTCTGTTAGAAAAGCTATATAAAAGTTATATACTCCTTTCACTTAAACATTTTTCACCAATTACAAATGTCTTCACTTTAATAATTACCTCAAATCTGCTAAAGATTATTTTAACTGGAACTTTGTTTAATTCAAACATTTGTTAAGCCAAACAATTTTTCGTAGACCTTTAGTAATACCTATATTTTACGTTTTTTTAATATACATTTTTACTCATCTATTTTCGATCCAGCATCAACTTGATCCAATAGATCAAAATTTAATCTCGGAATTTATATTTTATCGATGCCGTACCAACATCTAATTTTGGCGATATTCTTTCTTACGCTCGTTACGTCTAGGATAAATCCAAGCATTTCAAGTTTCAAGCTAATTAGTTATAATTTTACTCTAGGCTACGATTGTACAAGACTCGTCACAAACGTTCATTAATTTATTATAAAACATTAGAGTTTACAAATCTGAACAAAGTTTTAAACAAATTTAAAAAACATTGACATTTTGAAAAATACTCAATTATCTTATCTTATCGTAAGGTAACATTAATATCGTAAGGAAGCATTAGAAAAAAAAAAAATACTTAAATCAAAGTCATAATGAAAATAAGACTTACCAAAGTGATAATGAAGTGCATGAATATAATAGTTATTAGTCTTATATATTTTTCGCGCCAAATTTTGAAAAAGAGCAAAGAGTTTAGAAAGTTCTAGAACTATTTGAAAAGAATTACTGCTCGCTCATTCATATGAGTCACTGCTCGCTCATTCATATATAGTTCTGAAACAAAACAAATATTTTTAAAGGATCTTCAAAACTAATCGTTTTTAAACCTAACTTTTCAGAATGAATTTTTCAAATTATTTTTTTTAATATTTAGAGAAATGCAAAAATGAAACTAGTTTTACTTTAATCATATTTGTTGGCCAAAGAAAAAATAGACATAAAATATTCCAATTTTTTATAAAAACTGTCTGAAATAAAGCAAAAGTTTACTTCTAACTAACAAAAAATGTTGTAATATCTATACCAATATTCAACGTTCATGGAGTTTATGCATACACAGTTGTGCTTATAACATTATTAAACGTTATAAGCACAACTGTGTATGCATAAACTAATATGCATAGGCAGTTAAAATATTAAAATATTAAACCATATTTAATATTTTAACTGCCCCCGTTCCCCTCTCGCGTAGAAAAAGGCAAATTTTTCCACTTATAAGTCTCTTGACCCATAATTTTTTAAAGAAAAAAATTAAATTTTTTTTTTTTATTTCTTTTGGTTTATTAAATCAAGATTTAATAAACCAAAAGAAACAAATCACAGTCTTTTAAAATATTTTACAAATCAATCTGGATAAAAATTCATATAAAATAAAAGATATTTTAAGATACCTTGGTACTTTTTGTTAAATAAAGTTTAAAATTGTGACTTACCTGCACTTGTGCTCTCATAAACTCCTCGCTCATCTCCAAAAAAGAAATTTCCACTATGAATACTTATTTCATCGTAGCTAGTCAAGTTAATAAATACACATGATTTTAATGGAAGGTAAATTATATCTTCTTGTCTATGATTAAAATTGTGCGGGGAAAGATTCGTGTTTTCCGCGTGATATATTCCATCCTCACTTGTAAAGTTTAAAAACGTTTTTTTTGCTTTGTTAAATTTTTTATTCACGGACTCGTTGAAGTCTGTTCTTTTTCGTTTCGAACCTTTTTCTAACAGTGCAGTACCCCAGTTTATATTAGTGCCAACTGGATTGTGTGGTCCATTTGAATAATCCATGCAAAAGTCTATAAATATTATAAAAGTAATACATACAGCAATCAAAAACTTACTTATTGATTGAATAAAGCTTACTTCATATTTCCGTTTTATAACAAAAGTGTAGAAAACCCTACCTTGACTCATGCTACTCACGTCAAATATGAAACATAGTTAGAATTAAAATAAGTCGTGGTTGTATTGAATAAAACTTCCACAAAATCGTAAAATAAGTTTGAATAATTAATTTTTTTAAATTTAATTGATATGTATATTTAATACGAACAATCATTATTATATATTTATGAATGTTTCATTTATATGACGGATTTAATTTATTATTTTTGCTATTATTATATTAACTTTAGTCATTAATTATTTTTATAACGAAAAAATAAAAAATAATAATAATAAATCAAAAATAAATAAAAACAAGCCCATTTTTAAATTAAGCGTTGTTGTGAAATTTAGCAATTCAACTCAATTTGTAATAAATATAATTCTGATTTTTAACATTTCTATTAAATATTTTATACTATACTCTTTGGAAATTAAATCAGTTTTAAAAACTTATTGTTTTAATTTACAATTTTGTAAAAATATTACTTTTCGCAAACTGTTGCTTGCCTAACCTCATCATTGTCATTAAGTTTACTTTTTACGACTGATTAACCAATCAAATCAGAGAGGTTGTAGATACCCGGCGAGGTAGCAGGTGGTAGTTTTCTGAACTTTGTAACTAACCATTTTAAAATTTAGACGATCTTCCATACTTTTTGGGATTAGAACATAAGAACCAAAATTTAATAGTTGTGTTTAATGTTTAATGTTATTTTGTTTTATCTTCATTTTATATTAAACAAATTTAAACACTATATCTACATACCATATAACATGCTTAATTATCGAATTTGTTTAATGCTTTCAAGTGTCGTGTCGGTACAAAAACTTTGCCATACCTCCACCTTTGCACCCTTTATATATTCAGATCACTTCGGTAATTCTAATATAGTATACTATCAACGTTGTTTAAAATAAATGTAGAGACTTCATTAAAAAGATTTAACCCGAATATTTAACTTTTAGAAATGAAGTTCTTTTTTGTTAAAAACTTTTTTTTGAAAAGGATTGGTTTATTATAAAATCAACATAACATTATGCAACAAGTAATTCTGCAACTTTTTTTACTTTTTATTTAAGTTACTCTGCTGGAGTACCTTAAATAAAAAGTAAAGTAATACTACAAGTTACTCTAAAGGTTATTCCGCAAGTTATTTTGCAAGTTACTCTTAGAGTTATTTCAAGTTAATATTACAAATTACTCTAATGGTTATTCTACAAGTTATTTTGAAAGTTACTCTCAAAGTTATTCTGTAAGTTATTTTACAAGTTACTCAGCTAGTTATTCTGCAAGTTATTCTGCAAGTTAAAATTCTCTGCAAATTGCAAAGGAAGACAAGTGTCAAAAAAAAACGTTTTTTAATTAAAGGAAAAAACTTCTGATTGCATTGGTATAATTTACAGCAGTTGAATTGCTGTAAATTATACAAATGAGATCAGATTTTTTTTTCCTTAAGTTAAAAAACGTTTTTTTTTTTGTTTTTAATGTTTTTACAATCTAGGAATTTTCAATCTAATTCAGAAACCGTGAATTTATCATTTATGATGAATCTTATTTTACATTTAAACTAACAAATAAAAATATGTAATGTTGAACTTTACTTAGATGAACCAGAAACAGTTTAAAAAATATTAATATTAGCGCAAAATCAATTCTATATTTCATAATTGCTCAACCATTTACTATTACTACGGGGCTAGCTATTATTCAAATAGCGTATAAAAACGATTGCATTATCAATAGACTGATTCCTTTAATTAACAAACTTCACAGTGATAGTAATTATGTATTTGGTCTGACTTATGCCAGAATAGTATCTTTTATTTGTCTTATCGCCGAGCACCGTTTTACAATTTATATTTTTTACAAAACTTTTTCCAGAGTATAAAGTATAAATTAAGAATAATATAGATGTTTACAAAAGTATTAACATCAAAATAAGATCGTCTCAATTATTAGATAATACATATTGAGCTCAATATGTTGTTTATATATTGAAGTCAATTAGGAAAACTGTTTAAAAGTAACATGAAATTTTAATAAAATTGTATATCAATACATGACGTTTACTGCAAACGTTATATTTTAATATCTCTTAAGGCGAGTTTCCACTCATCCGTTTTTTCACGGGAACGGGAAAGGAACGGGAAAAATAATCACGTGGGCATGCGTAGTATAAGTTTTAATATGCCTGAAGGAAAACTACGCATGCTCACGTGGTTATTTTTCCCTTTCCTATCCCGTTCCCGTGAAAAAACAGATGAGTGGAAACTCACCTTTATACGTTCACCGGTGAACGGTGTTTTAAACTTATTGTTTTAATCCTACCTTTAAACTGTTTTCCTAATTTGTGGTCCACCACAAACACGCAATAACGAACACGGAAATTTACCCAACGTTTTTCTTTTTTTAATTTTTTAAACGTTTAAATGTATAGGTTTAGGCGGGCTTTCTGTTTAAACTTATATTTGCTAGTTTTTGTGTACTGTGATGCTTTTTTGTACTTACACCTTTATTTATTTAACAATTGTTAAATAAGTAATTAAGTAAAAATTTACAAAAATTTATTCGTACTTAAGTACAAATTCACCATGTTTTACAATTAAATTACACCATATCAAGTTTATTTGAGAGCCCACAATTTAGTTAGGGGTCGTCCATAAAGTACGTACGCTTTTTTTTCGTCACCCCCCCCTCCCCGCAATTTGCCGTACGCTTTTTTGAGTACTCTCTACCTCCCTAAAAGTACATACGCCTTTTAACCTACTAACCCAACATTTTATGATATTTTTTTTAATTTAGTGTCTCCATACTTTTATAATTGACCTACTGCCCCCTTATCTCAGAAACGCCATTTGCAGACCTCCTCTTCCTCTCCGAGCGTACGTACTTTATGGACCATCCCTTACTACACTTCAACTATAAGACACACAATTGGCTGAGCTGGTAACAATTAACAAAAATTCATACTAAAAAAATAATACTTCTTGCAATGAATAAGTTTATTATTTCTATTTAGTGCTTTAAAAGACATCAACAACAATTTACATCAAATTAAGTTAAATTTGCTTACAAAACTACATCATCAACATAAAAAAAGAGACGTTGTTTTTGTGAAAAACTACAGCTAAAAACAGAAAAAAGTTTTTTTTTTTTAAATAACATAATTTAAAATATTTCATCAAAAATAAAATTATATTTTCTTAATAAAAATTTTCTTATTAAAAATTTAAATTTTTTATTAAAAACAAAAGCACAATGTGATTTTAACAAACAAGCTAGCTTTATTTATGAATGCCATTTATAAAAGACTTAAACCGTTATAAACTGTCAATTCTAAATAAAAATAGTTTTATATGTGGACCACTTAAATAGACTAAAAGAGATTAATTTATCAAGTTCATAATTTTAATTACTAATATTTATATGAAACAAAGTTATCATGCTAGATAATAATTATAATAATAATTATTATTATTATAGTGTCGTTTAGCTCCTTGTTTAAATTTCATACCGAAAAATTTGACTAGAGTAATTTAGTAGTAAAACATGGTGGATTTGTAGTTAAGTACGTATAAATTTTTACTTAATTACTTATTTAATAATTGTTAAAAAAATAAAGGTTATGTAAGTTTAAAAAAGCATTAGATTACACAAAAATTAGTAAATGTAGGTTAAAACAAAAAGTTCATCTAATCCTATACATTTATACGTTTAGTTAAAAAACTAAAAAAAAAAAAAAAATAACGTTGAGTAAGCTTTCGTGTTTTTTAGTGTGTGTTTAAGGTTTATGCTCAAGAGCTATCAAGAGAACATTTGCAGTGAACATTAAGTAAACGTTCTCTGTTTTTTATTTGAAAGTTTGTATTGAACGTTTAAGAACTGTAAATCGGAGATCACAAAAGTTGGTTTATATAAAATTTGCAGCGAACAATATGCGAACATAAAAGAATGTTGAGGGAACGTTTCTTGAACGTTAATTTTTAATTGTGTACACACAATGTTTCAGAACATTCACAGAACGTTCAAAGAACGTTCTTGAACGTTCGCCACGTTCGTCAAGAAAAAGAAAGAACCAAAAAGTAAAAAAAAAAAGGTTAATGTAATTAAACTTTAATTAAAGTTAATTAATTTTGTTATTTGAATTACGTTACTATTACTTCTGATAAGTTTTATTACTAAGAGTTAATGAATTTAAATTAAAATTGAAGCAGAAGCTATTTGTTTTCAACGTAGGGCGTAGCTTTTTGTGAGTTTTATGGGTTGACATTACCAAAAGATTTTGCATTTTGTTATTGCAAGCTTGAGGTAACTTTGAATGAATTGTACAAATATTTTTATGTTTGTACCTGGTGCATTAATTTATCTTATACAAAATTTTTTCTCAGTTATTTGTTATTGACGTTTAAAAATTAATGTTTTTTTTTTTAAGAGGGAAATTTTGAGTAATTTGCGCGCATGCTTTTTTTATTCGGTTACATTTTAGTGATTTTAGTCAGTTTGTACTGTTTCAAACGTAATTTAAATAAATATTTGTTATCAGTTTTTTAATGATGGTATATTTAATTCTTTTTTTATATTTATATCTTTTTTTATATTTATAATATATAATATATATATTTTTAAATTTAAAAAATATATTAAATAGCTATTTCTAAAATATGTTATATATTTTGAAAAAATAAATTTTGATTAAATGGAAATGGTAAATATTAAATATACAATAAGCAACTCAAATCCTGACCCCCCCCCCTCAAACTTTGGAGCCTTCTCCATGCCACAATATTATTAATATATGTTATATAATAACTACAAAACATTCTATTGTTATCCCTTCATGTGCAAAATTCATGATCAATTTCAAAAAATGCAATTAAAGCATCATGTAGATCACAAACTTGAGAGCAAACAGCTTGACTCTATATTTTTGCTCTTAAAAGTCACAGAGTTTTTTTAAATGCAAAATATTTTGCTTTAATTTGCGTTAATTTAAATTATTTGCATCTTATCAAAATTATTTCAAATGAAAATAACGCATGAAGATCGCTACAAAGATCGATGGAAAGTCTTGCTCTGATTATATTTTAAAGTAAATTTTTTTTTATTATTTAAGAATCTAATACTTTTTAAATAATCACGGTCGCTCAATCGATTTTTTTAATTTACAATTACAAAGTTACAACTTTGTAATTGTAAATTACAAAGTTGTAACTTTGCCCTGATTTACTGCCGCTCTAGTACTGTGTTTATATATATAAGTGTATATATATATATATATATATATATATATATATATATATATATATATATATATATATATATATATATATATATATATATATATATATATATATATGTTTATATTTATATGTTGTTCTTCTAAATATAAAGATAAAATCCGTATGTTGTAAAATAAGCAAAGTTAATTAGTCAAGAAGTTAGTTGCAGAAGCTGTTTTAAACTACGAAAATAAGATAATTAAAGTGTGAAAATCAAATCCAAAGATATATGCATCCTTGTGTTAGTGAAATCCGATTGCTTTTTAATTCTGACGGTACTCAACTTGTTAATAAAAAGCTATTGCTGATTGTTTGATTGACCGGTTTTACAAAGGCTTCTTTAAACCAAATAATCACTTTCCTTTTTGTACCAAAGCCTGCTGCAAACCAAATTTGTTTAGACATTTTAATTCGAATAAAATTACTTAAAAAGGTTTTATTTCCAAGTTGCATAATACGAAATGCACTGGTATTGATTTTACTCATCCGTTTGTATCAAAAAACTGCAGTAGAAATTTAAGTGAACTGCTTTCACTTGTGCTCATAAATTCATTTGAGTCAGACCTGGTTCCTTATGATTGTTTGTCGGTTTACTATTCCTAGGCTTTGTTAAATTCCTAGCTCATAGAAGTTTTAAACTTTTATTATAGAAACATTAAATAATATTTGAGTGATTGCATTGTGCATTATGCAGATTGCTATGGAATCCTCTAAAGGAACCTTTCAGCGAGCGAATTCTTCAGTGTCTAATGAACAAAAGACGGCCGCTACAAAATTTGACTTATCATTGTGTAAAGCTAAGAAAAAGTCTAGCAGGTTCGAAACGAGCCTTGAACATATTTTCGCGTCACGGTAAGGAAGGAGGCGTGAACTTCCTGGTTAAAATCACTTCCGCGGTTCTCTGTGACAAGACCGTTAGGTCTTCTAAGGGCACCAAAAAAAAAAATAAAAAAAAAAAAAAAAACGCGATTTGCTTCAATCAGGCCGTGATTGTAAACAACGCAAGCTGCTGTTTAATAACAAAAAATGTGGTTGAAGAAGAAACTGTTCCCGATCTAAATCCAGAGTTAGTTAAGAAAAATGCTTTTTCGTCAAATATAACGTCAAACGTAATCAGTGAAACAAGTACGGTTAAATACAGTGTCCTCTAGTCCTCAACAGCATATACAATCAGCTGTTACCAATAGAAAACTGCCCGCAAAAATTATAACAAACTATACGCCAGAACTCGCTGCAGTATTTACTGAAGAAAGTATAAATTACGTATATATAGGACTAAAAGTATACAAAGCTAACTCTAATAGTCTTAAAAATAAACCCCAGTGTACCAATAAAACAAAAACGATTTATAAACAGTTTCCTGACAGTGCACAGTGTAACCAAAGAATAGCATTATTTGTAAATAGTAAATTGTTAATTTATAAAAATTAGTAAATGATAACCTATGTAACATACAGATGTAAAGCATTTAACGTATAATCCAAAAAGAGTGTACTAACGTCTTTGGATATCAGATAATATTATCCAAAGGCGTTAGATAACCTTCAGAGTTGAAGATAATCAATTTGCGGTGCTTTATTGTAATGCATGCATGTTATTTTCAAAAGAAGGTTCTCAGGGGCGGATGCAGGATTTTTTATGGGTGTCGTCTATTTTTTTTTTTGAGTTACCAAAATATAGTTCGCAATATTTCTTTTTAAGCTCCTGCCCCGGGCTAGCGAGGAGGAGAGGGGGAAGAAGGTTGCAAAAAAATATCGCCGACTATATTTTGGCAGTTCGTCATTAAAACGGCATCAGTACTTTATTATTACTTACTTGACATTGTTCTTAATTACCCATATAAAACAAAACTAATAACAATATTGCCTTGGCTATTCTGTTCATAAATTGGACATTTTTTACTTGTCTAACCTATTTAACGAAGTGTACCAACGAGAAGGTAAGCCATAGGACTTTGCTCTCTATCTGTAAACTGTTATGTGGCCTTAGGTTAGCCCTCCATTTCTAGATTCTTTCCTTTTCTTGATAGGCAGTTAGGCTAAATTTTTTTTTTAAATATTTTTATGTTGGTTTTTCTTAATTTCACTAATTATAAGATAAACTTAAATAAAAAAAATAAAATAAAATACAAGAATATAATCAATTAACAAAAAATAAATTAATAAATTTATATTAGGTAAAAACCAACTCTAAGCGTCGTTCCCCTAAAACAGAAGAAATATTTAAAACTCTTTCTACATCAGGAATTATTTCTTGATGAATATACATCAGAGCTAAAGAATTAAATCTTCATGCGGCTTTGCATATAAGTTTTCAGTCTGTGTATAACACAAATGCTCCTCTCGCATTAACATGTAGTAATTGGAACTGTTCCCATTATTAAAAAACTTTCCCTAATGTTTGAGAAACCCCTCATATCAATAGATTTTAAAGTCTTTAAAATAGTGGATGGGATTACAGATTGATTGTTCCAAAATGTTTCCCACTAATCTAATTCAGTATGAATTGATGTAGGATGAGACATATCCAATATATAAAAAAATGCAAAAATTCCATAAAATCTAAATTCCAAAAACATTTTTATTATTTTTTTTTTTTCAACAGTTGTAGAAATACCAGATAAACCTTTGTAAACAACCATCTCACTTTCATCAAATCTATCTTCTAATTCATTAATTAAATGATCTAGAAGAGGAGATGTGATGGAATATTTGAAATAATCTGAAACTGTGTCAGAGGGATAATTATCTCTATAAATTTGTCTGCCACAGAGCCTTGGTTTAACTTCTGAAACATTAAGAGTCTCAGCTAGATCAAGAGCAATTAAGTACCATTCGTTATGATAGACATCAATATTTTTTTTTAAATCTAAAACTTGAGTTTTTAAACAATTTATTTCATTACACTGTTGTGATATATCAAACGCTTTACTTTGAAGAACAAGCGATGACGTAGAAATAGTCCATTATTTGTTTGGTTAAAACTAAACTTACAATAAATAAAAAAATTAGTCGTAAGATTTAAAAAACATGAAGTTTTTGAAGAAGTATCAATATTATAACTCTTACTTTCATTGTATGCCATTTCTTTGAATGAATGAAAAACGGATATGTAGTTATCAAAAAAACAAAACAACCAGACCTTTAAGTTTCTGAACCCATCTAATTCAACATGTATCAATTAATTTTGCTTGACCAGGAAAAACAAATTTATTGAGACAGCTGGCACATTTAGGTGATAAGTTAAAAAAATATGATATATCTTTGATTTGATCAAGAACATTTCTAACACTCTGAACATTGCATGATTTATTTACAACTAAATTAAGTTTATGACATGCACAATGAACAAAAATAGCCTTTGTATTGATAAATTTATTTCTTGATGAAATACCTTTTAATTTACCAGACATTGCCCCAGCACCATCATATACTTGACCTCTAATTTTTTTGGATATCAAGACCAAGATCATCAATTGCAGAAATAATGTTTTGCGCAAGACTAAGACCAGTTGTACCAGATTTACATTCAATAAACCGTAGAAAGTCTTCACAAATAAAATTATCACAGTCAATATATCTTATAACTAGAGATAGCTGTTCAACATTAGAACAATCAGAGGCTCCATCACACAAGATGAAAAAATAACCTGACTTTTTAATTTCATTAATTAGAACTTCTTCGATTGTTTTTCCACAGCATTCAATAAGTTCGTATTGTGCGGTTTTAGATATCTAGGTTGCATTTTTAGGAGCAGAACGAATATGGTGCTCAAGAACTTTATCCCCTGTTTCAATACAAAAATTTCAATTACTTATAATAAGTTTTTTTCTAAGATTGTTGATGTCAACTTCAATCAGATTTTTTATAAGTTAGATCTAGATTGTAGGATGTTAAGACAGTACATTAACATTTGATGAAGTCTACAATTATTATTGTGATCCATATAAGCACGAATTGCATTACCCCATACTTTAAAAGGTTTTCGAAAAAAATTGACTATTGAAGTATTGTTTGGAATTCTGCTTGCCAACAGTTTACATGGAATGCAGTATGCTCCATCTTCAATCTGTGAGTAAGCTAACCAGGAATATTCAAGGGGCTAATTTATATAAAAATGATTGTTTCTTTTTTTTCACCAGAAACAGGAAAAACAAAACACAAGTTAGGTATAAATACTTTTTTAATTAGATCTAATAACATTAAATCATCTTTGCCAGCAGATAGATGTCTACCGCGCTCATTGTAAGTAGAAACATCGTAAAAAGGAAGGCTTGAAGACTGATTTGATGAACAAGGAATACAATTAAGTAAGATTGGATTTGGAGTAATATCAGTATTTACATCTATAATTTTAGTTTCATTACCTATGCCAAACTTTACATGAGATTGAGCTAATGATTCAACACGGTCCTTTTTTTAAATCACTTTTGACAAATTTCTTTGAGCATAAAACTTCTCTTTTCACTATAGGGACAAAATGATTTGGTGACCACATATCTTTAACCTTATAAATAGAGCGACAATCAGTGTTACACCATAAAATACTCAGAACTTCTTTATTTGTTTTATGATCACCACGTTGGTATATACATATAATTTTTAATATTTTTTAAGTGCAAATTCAGTATAAATAATGCACTGTAGATAATGCAGTTAAACAAAGAAAAGAAGCAAACTTATTGTTTCTGCAATTGTTATAAGCATCTTTTTTTATAAGTTCAGCAATATTTATGTCATTTATTTCTCTAAAAAAAATCAGAAGACTCAAATAAAACACATGTCATGAAAACACTAGAGAGTGAAGAAAAACGTTTAGATTCCACTTGATTTAAGATTATCTCGAATATAAGGTTGCTTTCTCAAACAACTCAACAGAAGTTAATAGTTAATATTAATAAAGCAGCAGAGTTGTAAAGACAGTCACCGTTTTCCATTGACCTGTAAAGCCGTAACATATATAAACTAAATATAACTAAAACAAACATATTTAACTAAACATTATTTGTCAAGAATTATTGCTTTATAAACAAAATAAAATATAAAAAAACGTATTTAAACTCATAAAAAAAATATAGTCTTCATTTTCTTTTTGCATGGGAATAAAAGCTTCTATTTCAGAATTTCTTAAAAAAAGAAGATCTTTGTTTACAACAGGAAAGTTTGAATTTAATTCTTTGAGATTATTACAAAGCTTAGCTTTGTAAGTCGTAATATTAGGAAAATGCTTGGCTTTAATGGCATTGGATAGCAACAAATCCATAACTGCAAACAAAAATTAAATTTTTAATAAAAATTACTTAATGCTAATTTTTGATAAACTTCAATTTATTCGAATACTTAAGGCTTTATACGAATAATTAAGGCGTTATTAGAATAATTAAAGATTCATTTTTTATACAAACAGAACCGAGAGAACCCTTTTGATTAAACATTCCTACAACTTTTTTTTGTTGTCTACCGGAAATTCGGGTCAAATGAATCCTGAAACAACAGGGATTTTTTTTGGCCATTATTACGGCAAGCAAAATAAATACAAAGCAATAGCGATTGATTAAAAGGGTTCTTTTGGTACCGTTTGCTTTAAAAAAAAGATCCTGATTTAATAGCGGCGTTTCGAAACATGACAGAGGAGAGCTAAGTCTTTGAAACGTTGTTATAGCAGTGTATGTTTTTCTATAAAGGCAATATTTCTATAAAGGCAAAGAACTCATATATTCATATTAGTATTCTATAAATTTAAGTTTAGTATATTTTAGATTATGAAACGGAATTTTTTATAATTTCTTAGAATATTATGGGTGAATCCAGGGCAACGCAGGATACCCCCTAGATCCGCTCCTGGTTCTAGTTTTACTCATGGATTTAAAAAGTTTTCCCACATATACTAAAGAATCAAAGATTATGAAGAACTACATAACTAAATTACATAAAGGTGGTGACATTGTACTATTGAGTTTTACAATAGAGAAAGATATCGTAGGTACGCTGGCAAAAACGTTAACTCAAAAATCCCGGTTTAGAGAAATCAATCTTTATTATTATTATTATTTTTTAATGTTTTGTTTACATTTGACATAATATATATTATATAATATATTACATATTTTTCAAAATCAAACAAGGTTTTTAAAAGAATCTTATCTTCAGAAGCTTTTTACAAAATCATCTTATCTTCAGAAGCTTTTTACAAAAGAGAGTAGGGGAAAGCGGGGCAACATGGCGAATGGGGCAAGATGGGTTTTTATATAAGAACTCAACAAAAAATCTTAAAATTGGGTGAAAACGAAACTGTATTTGCATCTTGTATTTTAAAACACTAATTGGCTTTTTGAAATATTGTTAAGGCAATTTTATACACATAAGTTTACTTTTAGCGCCTAAAAAAAAATTCCTCACTTTCGGTTTCTCATAATGGATGGTGCCCTTCAAGTATAACTTCTTTAGAAGTAGTTTTTTGCAACTTTTGTTTATTTTTTGTTACTTTAGTTAGAGTTATTGGTAGTTTTAAAATTTTTATAAAATTGGAGGTAAAAGTTGCATAATAAGTCATCTTGCCCCGGTCACGTGACCAGATGACAAGTTTATGAACTTTTTATTTTAATATTTATTTCAAATTATTATATTTGCAAACTGAAAATTCATGCAGACAATGAAAAAATTTAATAACATAAACATACTGAGAAAGTATTATGTCTTCACGACTTATAGTTTTGCAACAACTCAGGGCTTTCAAAACGTTCGCCATGTTGCCCCGCTTTCCCCTACGTAAAATATTATAAAAACGCCTTTTTTTACACGTTAAAAATCATATAAAAACAATAAATTGTACTCAGATAAATAAAAATATTAAAGTATTAAATGATACTTTAACATTTTTTTTATTTATTTAATACTTTAATATTAAAGTATTAAATAATACAAGTATTAAACAAAACTTGAACTTACATGACAATAAAATTATTATATTTTTTTTTATCACAAGATAATTTAAAAATATTATAAGATATTTTCAATAGAAAGAATGATGTCTTTCAATTTATTTTTAAAAACAGGATTAGTTAGGGGTAAGTCGAAGTTAGGCAAAATAATTTTGTTCCAGAGATGAGCTGCACGTTAAGTGATACGAAATTGATTGAATTTTGTTCGACAGAAGAAATTTAAATAATTATTATTCCTCATGTTAAACTTGCTTAATGGTTTCAAAAAAAAAAAATCTTGAAAAATTAAAGGAGATAAATCATATTTCCACATATAAACAAAAGATAAAGTTTATATATACGTTTAGTTTATATATATCGAGGATTTTCATTTGAATATAAAATATTGAGGAACGTGCGAACCGCAGAATTAATTAAACGGATCACATGTTTCTGACGGCGATAGAGACATTGTAACTTGCTTTGATCAGTACTACCCTAGGTAATAACTCCATAACTTATATAATTAAGGATAAAAGAGTATAAAGTTAAGTTAAATTATTTTTATCTAAATGAGTACGCGCCTCACATAAAATTTCGAAACTTTTTGAAAATTTCGAGCAAACATAGTTAATATTTTTTTTTTTTACATTTTGTCGTTGTTTACAAAGATAAACAGACAAGGCTTTTGAAAGAAGATCATAATGATGTTATCATCAGAACCTTTTACAAGTTTTTTAAAATCAATACATTAACAAGACTAAAAAATTACATTAAATCGTGGTATAAATTGGAAATATAAATCAAACCACTAATGTTATATATAATAAAAAGTCTGATCTTACCATCAGAACATATAAAAACCTAAATATATAAATGCATATTTATACAAAGCAAATACAGTAATACATCTCTTTTTAATAGGCAAGAGAAGATACAACAGTCTTTTAATTAAAAAAGCAAATACGTGGTTGTTGTAAAAAGTTGTAATTTAAATATATCATCAACAGATAAAATAAAATTTTTAAGTTTACTTTTAAAGATCGGAAATGTATTGGATATATCAAAACTAGGTATAACAATTTTTTTTCTAAGATAAGGTGTTCAAAATGTAATGCAAAATTTGTTAAATTTTGTTCTGCAAATAGGTTCATATACAAAATTTTTATTTCTAAGTAAATATTTGTTAATTGGGTTTAGAGAAAAAAGGTCTTTAAAGATAGTTAAAGTTAAATCGTTTTTCCACATGTAAATATGATGTTTCCATGTAATGTTCTTGTCAATGAAAACCCCCGGGTATTTAGTTACAAAATCTTTTTTAATTTCAATATGGTCAATAAAATTTTTTGGTAGATTTGGAAGTAGAAAACGTTTTTTGGAGTGCGGGTGAAAAAAAATTCTTTTTGTTTTGCTTACATTTAATGTTAATTTGTTACTTTTAAACCATTTAGATATGTTTTGAAGTTCTTTGTTCATCATGGAGAAAAGTAGATAGATGTCACTGTTTGAGAGAAATAAGTTGTCATCACCAAACATTTAATGCTTTATGCAAGTCTTTTAAATATATTATAGAAACAAAAGAGGGCCTAAGATGGAACCTTGCGGAACACCACAGGAAACATTTAAAAACTGTTTATGATTAAGTTCATTACAAAAAACAAATTGTTTTCTGTTAGATAAATAATTTTGAAACCATTTAAATACACTTTTATTTATTCCGTAAGAGTTAAGTTTATAAAGCAAAATATCATGATCGACAGTATCAAATGCTTTTGAAAGATCAATAAAAATTTTCTTCCAATTTGAAACTTTTATAATCTTATTAAATTGCATTTGGTATTGACATTTAAATACGTCATAAAGTTAAATGTTTATTTAAGAAAATATTTTTAACTTTTACTTTTTTTAATTTAAAAGCTTTTAACCTGAATAAAATAATCGTTTTATAAGTTAACGTTAAAGGTATTTTTATAACCAGAGAACAGATAATTTTTCATTTGACTTGTATTTTGCCAGTGTGTAGAGCGTTGTAAACTTTATAATACTGCACCGTTTAGTCAAAACTGCAAATTTTTAACTTTTTCTAGTTTACCTACAATATAAGTTCTTTCTTCAACAAAGGTCTAGTAGAAAAAGGTGAAGGCGCTGTTAAATATTAAAAAATACTGAAGTATTCAAACGAGTTTTTACAGCACTCGTTTTCGTTAGGAGGCAAACTCTTTCTTACAGATGTAATTGGGGCGAATCTTTGTCCAAAAAATGTATTGATCAAGGGTACTTCTTGGAACTGATATTTTTGATAGCAGAGTTTAACGAACAACTTAATGATCATTTAAAAATAGCAGTTCAGAAAGTCAAAAGAGGAAAGAATGTTTGATACGCAAACAAAACTCACGTGGACGCGGAGGTTTGGTAACAATGTTGTCAAAGACCGCAGTTAACAATATTCTAGCTGCTACTTCAAACTTGATAAAAAATTATATAGTCAAAGAAAATGGTGATTAGAAATTCAGTTTTCAAATAGATGGTAGTCAAGATACGTTGGTGAATGACAGGAAATGATAGTTATGTGGTATGCAAGTGGAGAGGGGCAAAATAGCGATTATTTACTATAAAAAAAACTATTAAAGTAATTAGTGTAGGACTATACCAAATATTGAAATCAGAGCTTGAACGCAATGTTTTAAAAAGGAAAGAATTGGGGGTGAATTCTTTGATGGGGCAGCAAACATGCGTTGTGAATATCATAGAGTTCAACGTTATATAAACAACGTTTCGCAAAGTGCTGTATACATGTGGTGTTACGTCCTGAATTTTTCCGCAACAGATATTGTGGAATGTGGAAAACGCACAAGCTGTTAAAAATTTTATTTTTAACAGCTTGTACGTTTTAATTTAATTGGTCTCTTACAGAGTACAGCAACTTACTTTGGCAAAACTTGAAAACAAATAAATATTTGAACGGATGTTCTCATTGAACAAGGAGTTGGATCTGCAAAACTAAAAAGACTACAAAAAATTGGTGAAACGCTGTTTGTCAAAACAGGTGGCACTAGAACGAATCCTTGGAACTTACGATGCACCACAAGTGGAGTCTTTCTATGCTCTTTTGCAAGATTTTAATTGTTAAGAATGCCTTCAAGATTTGATGCAAAATTAACTTTCGAAGCCACAGTACTGCGTGATAAATGGTGTCAATTCGATGTGCTTCTTGCAGCCTTTCTGCTTCTACATGTTTACACCGTTTTGCGTCAAGCTTCCGAATATTTGCAAGCAATAGAACTAGATTATTTAAGTGCTTAGAATATGATGGAATCAACAAAACAAGAAAGGTAGATAATATTTATCGAAGATGTCAATTCTATGACAATTTCGTTTTTTGAAGAAACCAACATCCTCCTTGATGCTCGTGAACTTGACTCAGAAATTGATATAGAGTTGCTTGTAGAGCGAGTTAATCAAAAGAAATGTATGGATGGGAAATTGTCTATGATGACATCAGAGAATCCTCTAAATTGTTTCAGAGTCAAAGTTTTCCGTAGAGTATTTAATCAGATTAACACTAGCATTGATAAACGTTTCTCAGTTAACAGGGATGTATATACATATATATATATATATATATATATATACATATATATATTTACATACATATATATATATACATACATATATATATATATATACATACATATATATATATATACATATATATATATATATATATATATATATATATACATATATATATATATATATATATATACATATATATATATATATACATATATATATATATATATACATATATATATATATATATATATACATATATATATATATATATACATATATATATATATATATATATATATATATATATATATATATATATATATATATATATATATATATATATATATATACATATATACTATTACTACAAAATATTATATATAAATAAAAAAATTAACTAGTATTTATAAACAAATACAAACATTTTCACCAATATTTACAATATAAATCTTAATATATAGAGTGGCGGATCCAATAATTTTTGAATTTTTGAGTTTAAACTTCTACGTAAGTTCTTAAATCTGAGGTTTAGTAATTTTGCCCAAAACTTCGCTGATTAAATCCTGAGAACAAAAAAACCCATCTTTCAATTATATATTAAAATCATACAAATTTTATGCTCATTATTTTTTACATAATAATTATGAGAATAAAAAAAAACACCTTAAAAATTGATTTTTATTAATCTATGGCTGAGGCGAATGTTTTGCCTTTTTGAGTACAAAATAAATAAAAAATGCAAAAAAGTATTTTTAAATCATCAAATGAAAACAAAAATTTGAATTCTACTCCACGACTGCTTTAAATATCTTTTGCTTTTTTTAAGGCTAAAAATTAATTTTCTCATTAATTAATTGATAACATTACTAAAGTGACTATTTAATATATTTAAAAAACTCGTTTCAAATAACGCAAGAACTCGAAAAACAAGTTATACTCAGAAATAAGTAGTTGGTAAGAATGTTGTTATTGATTAATAATGTTTTTTACGTTTTGGAGCATTATAAAGTTTATTTTCATTCATATTAATCATGCGGGAAAACATTTTGGTAAACTCTTTCACCCAAAGAGCGTTATCACGTGCATACTGTTTAGCATATTTATGAGCTGTCGAATGTCGGCAACGTGTTTTTGAAGAAGTTGGTGTGCAAGAAACAGAGCCGTTATTGTCCGTCGGTTTAATAACCCATGAATTAGCCATGTCAACGTTTAGAAGTATTGGTACTCTGTTTGGTTTAGGAAGCTTATCGTTTGGTGTAGTATGAGTTATTTCCTGCCATTGTTTATTTTTATCATTAATGGTTACTTGCAACCAAGGTACTATATCAATAAACATTCTGTAATACGCGTTGTCAAGCACGCTTGTTGGAGCTAAAGAACCATTTGGTACTGTCGAAAACCGTTTATCAACCCAAGATCCAACAAAACCCACATTTTCTAAATGACAACCACCTAAGGTATGTGCTCCTAAAAGAGTTACAGCTTCTCTTATACTAAATCCAAACTCCTCTTTAAAAAATTTAAATGTGTCTTTTGTACTGTCTGTTCCTTTTATAAATCTATATGGTCCAGAATCATCTTCTATTGGCGAAGTAGCGCAATCTTTTCTACCAACTTTAAAATGGTTTAACCCATTGTATTTAGCCGGAGCCTCAACAGTAGATCTAGTGAGAGCAACGGATGCCGCTAAAGCATAAAAATCTGCTCTTGACATTTTCCCTTTAAATGATGTATCGTACAAAGGATCAAGTCGATCTGTAACCTTTTTTAAACCTGCATTTAATGGTCTCGAATGATTAATGCAACCATCACATTTTCCTTGTCCCATACAATCATGAAACAGAAGACGAACGGTTCCGGCAATCATTGGTAAATCTTTATTATTTTTAACAGACTCTATTAGAGTGAGAATACTAGCTTTCGCTTTTTCTAGTGTGTCGAATGTTGGTAAGTCTTTTCTTCCGAAACTTTGATTAAAACATACAATCGCAATGCAAACTTTTAAAAGTGTTGTTAAATTAACCATTTTAGTTGTAATTTGGTCTTGTTATTTTACTTGTTAAACTAAAAAATACTTGTTAAACTAAAAAATATATTTTATTTTATTTTGTCCGGCTAGTTGCCATAGTATGGCAACTTTGTTTTTTCGCTTGTTTATTTATTTACATATTTTTTTGCTCACATAACTTTAGGTTTTTTTTTTTTTTTTTTTTTTTTTTTTATGAAGTCGAAGGACATTTTTACAAAACACTTTATAGTTTTATTCAAGGTCGTCGTATCATACGACGCTCATATATTTTTACAAGGATACGTAAAACGCCATAGGATTATAAAGTGTTTTGAAAAAATATCCTTCGACTTCATATACAATTAAAAACAAAAAAAAAAACAACCTAAAATATGTAAGCAAAAAAATATGTAAATAAATAAACAACCGAAAAAACATAACGAACGAAAAACCTAGAGTGCAGTAAAAAAAAAAAAAGGAACTTTACCATAATGTCCTTAGGACACCGTTGAAGTATGTAAAAAAATAAAAAATAAAATTCAAAAAAGTTAAGAACTAAAATAATTAAAAAATGAAAAAACAAATTAACAAACTTTCAAGCACCAGTTAAAATTGATATATTTCCCAAGATTGTTACCTCTTACTTATTTTAATATGATATTATTATATACTATATAATATGACCGTTTTTTAACAGATTTATTTATAGAATAGATGAACTTCATGTCGTCATGTTTGGATTAAATTTGAGTAATTAAAAATAAATTAAAACTGTTTGAAAAAACCCCAAAATTATAGCAAAAAAGGAAGTTATACCAAAGCCACCAAATTAAATGATCAAGACCAATTGTTATTACTAATTAACTATGTAATTAAAAATACTAAACGTCATCAATGCCATCAATCTGGTGCGAATTCTTTCACACTTCAGCTGCAACTGCTCTAAGTTATGCCAAAGTCAATAAAGTTTTAAAAAGATGTTAAACCTATATTCTGTTTAACTAAATTCATTATGCTATTATTTAAAAATGTTCCTTATTAATAAACTCTTAATAATAGTTCTAGTTTGCCACATTGCTTTGCAAATCTAACTTTTATGAGAGGTTCTTCAACAAAAAAAATGTAGTAAACGTGTAGCGGATGAGCGCTTGCTTTGTAAAAGAGAACTTTTCAGTTTGATCCCTACCACCTTCTTGGTAGTACTGCGCTCAAATAGCAGCAGCCTTGTTTGTCAAGGGTTGTGTTTTGGAATTAAAAGCTTCAACGAGGGTTTTAATAACATTTCAAACAAAATTTTGTTATAAAATATAAAGTTTATATAAAAGTAAAAAAATTGAAATAATAAAATTACAAAAATAATTTGTTAGTAAGAAATGAAAGAACGCGGGGCTCGTAAGAAGACCGTCAGGTCAAGTCGTCGAGAACCGCTAGCGTAGTCGTGATAAAATTTCTCCTGGTAAATAGCAGTAAAAGATAAACAAGATAATTACAATTTTTTATGTCGTTTTCAGTCAGAAAGGTAGTAATCTTTTTTTATTTACAGAAGAGTATTTTGTAAATATATAGATCTGTTATATATACTAGAGAAAAGGCGCCTGTGATGGCATACTTAACTTTGAAGCTTCATTATTCAGTATCCTGAAAACCAATAATCAAAGTATTGATATAGATACATTCCTTGTTACATGTAAAACAATAATAACCCTTGGAGTTTTTATCAGTTTTGTTTTTTTATAAGTTATTATTTTTTTTTTTTTAAAAAAAAAAAAAGCACAAGTATGCCATCATAGGCAATCACTGCTTTTATGATGGCATTGGGAAGGATGGGGATAGCTAGGATGAAGGGTAATTTGATGATTTCATTTAACCTGTTTTCTCAAAAAAGTTGAGTGTTTTCTCAAAAAAGCCAGAAATTATCCGTAATAATGCTAATTTACCATTTTATGCTTGCACAACAGCATTGTAAAGTTTCGCGCATGCGCATAGGTTATACTGCGTTTTATGTATTTTTTAAACCAAAAAAAAAAAAACTTTTGGAGCATACTTTCTTTTTACTTTACTTAAAAATAGGTTTTTCTTATAAAAAAAAGGTTTTCCCTACTCGTTAATATTGCAACACACCCAACTCATTAGCATGCCATCATGGGAAGAAGTCATCATTTTCATTAAAACAAACCGTGTCTGCCTTGTTCAAAAGATAAAATTAAAGTAAGTATTCCACTAAATGCACAAAACTTGGAAATAAAATGCATGAAAATTCTCTTTTTGCACAGTTAATAATGAAATCACATTCTTAAATATATGAAGGAAAAAAAACTACAACAGTACATTCCAAATTCGATTTTTGTTGATTATAAAAACAATAATTGTGCACAAGGGACGTATTTTCACTAAAACTAATGTATAGCCATGTAGGTCTAATCACTTAATAATTTAATCTTTCCTCTTAAAGAATGTAAATAAATAGTTCATTAAAAAAAAAATCTTTATACCAAAAATTGCGTTATTTATATATCTTACAAGGGCGGGTTTTGTTACTTGCCAAAGAGGGGACCAAAACGGTCTAAACACACCCAATCATCTCATCTTAGGAAACCAGTTTCCTAAGATGAGCTTTTTTCAATGGAACTTAAAAAAACTCAAAATAACAAAAAAGTAATCACAAAAATAAATTAAATAAAATGTATCTTCAAGGACTATACTTAAGTAAAAAGTAATTATCTCAACCATTAAAAAATAAACAATAATAAATCTTTTCGATCTCTAAAAAAAGTTAACGATACTATATTTTGAAAAAACTTTCGCTCATAAAATACAAAAAGCTCCGCGGAGAATAACTTTAAAAAAACGGGCTTTTCGTAATAAAAAGCTGCATCTCATCTTGAGCGTCTAAAAACGTATCATCTTAAGCAACTTCACCAAGTACTATTATAATTTAAATAGCATGACAACAGCTTATGTATTATCTCATATAACCCCTTGAATTAGCAATACAAAAAATTAAAAGAGAAAGTTACTTATAAATAAAAATATGCGGACCTTTTTTTTTTTTATTTTAGACCGTTTTGGTCCCCTCCTTGGCAAGTAACAAAACCCGTCCTTGTAAGGTATACAAATAAATAATAAAAGTTTTATTAAAAAAATAAAAGTTTTTATTTATTAATAGATTAGGAAAAAAAAAATTTCATTCCTGCCTGCACCTTCTTACATATAAATTTGTTTTATTATTGAGTTAAATATAAATAATCGAAATTTTTTAAAATAACTATGGAATTATGTAGCGCCCAATTACTGACTGTATCACTTGTTATTATAAAAATATAGTTATAACTTAAATAAATTCCTTTATTATATCGTCACACAGGAGACAAAACTAATGACTGATTTCATAATAGTGCTATATTAACTAAATTTGTCATCAGTACTAATATGGTTGGCGCGTCTTATAATAGTGATATTTTATTATAAGACGTTATTTATACGTATATTAATGTAAAGAAAATTTTCAGTGCCGTGCAAACCAATTTTGGGGCCCCAGGCAGACTTTCTTGTAGGGCCCCCAACCACAATTTTTTTTACCAATTTTAATGTATATTATTACAATGTAGTATTATTATTACTGTTGTTCAAGAAAAACTTTTACAACTTGACATATTCTTCCAATTTTACAATGCAATCTTTCTCGCCTTAATTATTGCAAACTCTCTTATTATTTCCTCCTACTTTAGACTAGTGCTTATCTCAAGCTCTGAGATAAGCACTAGTCTCAGAAAATTCTGAGCTTCAAGTTTGTCACTTGAAGCTCAGAATTTTCTGAGCTTCAAGTGACAAACTGTCCAAATTATTTCTAAGAGTACTGAGATCTACTTTAGAATTATTGATATATTGCATAGCTAATTGAAAGTCCATTTTTTCAGACTGCAAGTATTTGCTTGCAATATTAATCTGCAGCAGGAGTTCATACCATATCACAATCTTTATAATGAAAGCATATGATGATAATTTGTTTGTCAAAGATCTCAGTTCAGCAAAGACAAAGGGATCACTTGTTGAGCCTTCTAACTCTTCTAGTGCCTTCAAAATTTCAGGTATATGGTTCCTGACAACTTTTACACTTTCTATTCGAGATTCCTAGCGTGTCCCACTCCGTTTCTTTATTGTAGCTCCAACACATTGTTCCATGATTGTCCATCTATGTGGTGATTCTGAGAAAAATGTATACAAGCGTTAAAGATACCCAAAAAATAACTTTGTAGATGCATTGCGTTTTACTGCATTAGAAACAGTGAGATTTAATGAATGGGCACCACACGGAGAAAAGAAAGCCAAAGGATTCTGTTCCAGAATTTGTGCTTGCACTCCTTAGGTGCAACCTTTCATGTTGCTTCCATTGTCATATCCTTGTCCTCTGCAGTCATCAATATTTATGTCGTTTTCAGTCAGAAAGGTAGTAATTAATTTTGTAATTCCTTCACCTGTTTGATCTTCAGCTACCAGGAACCCCAAAAAGTATTCTTCAATTGTTGCAGAACTTTCTGAAGTTTCGAAAAAAAGTACCACTACAGTCATTTGCTCTTTATAGGCCATATCTGGATTGCAATCCAATATGAGGGAAAAGCATTTTTCCACCTTTAGACAATGAATAATTTCAGTTTGCACTTTTCTTGACATAAGAATGATTTTGAATTCTGTTGCTTAAATAATTATTTGGCAACTGATTGTTGGTTACTCGACGAACATGCTCCTGCATGACTCTAACAAACTTTGCCAATAACTCCGTAAGGCCAAGAAAGTTTCCATTTCCATGGGCAAAAAGCTTTTCCTCACTGCCTCGAAAAGCCAAATTTTTTTTTTCCAAATATTGAATAGTTCTCACAATTTTCTCAATTACTGATTGCCAGTATTGCTGTTCTTGCTGGAAGATACTCTGATTCTGTTGCTTATACTGTTGTGCTGTTGTTGTACTGTTTGCTTTCAAGCGACTTTCCAGCTTCTTCCATTTTATCCAGGAATTATTGTACTTTTGTAAACAATTATGCTCACTTAACATGAAATAAATGTTTTTCTAATCACGAAAGCCACTAGTACAAAGTTTTTGTATATCGACACTAAACAACTTGCAGCAGAAACAGTATACAGCATCTGCTTTTTTTGAGTATACAAACGATGATCTTGTTATGGTTTGATCATTTGTCAGGAATCTATTGTAGTTTGAAGCACAAAATCTTCGTTTTGCTTTGGAATTGGAAAAGCAACTCTTTGAGAAAGCATAATCCTTCACCTCTATTGGTCCTAATAGCATTAATTGATTTCGGAGATACGACAAATCATCAGGCTAGTCTGCAGGATCTAAAATAATCTCGTGAAGCTCAACCTCAGGAATTTTCGTTGGTGTCAGTTCCTTTGATATTTTAATTGATGCAGGTTATTCCAAAGGATTTGGCACAAAAATATTGTCCTTACCTTTTTCATTAATTGCTGCTGCTGCATCATCAACTGCCCATGTTAGAGATTTTTGAATGAACAAAACTTGATTTTCGTGTTGTGGTCGGGTGAAAAATGAACTAATTTTTGGCAAAAGTGCAATCTTTTTCTTATCCTCTTTCTTTTTCTTTCGTTTGCTAAATCTACTTGCATAGTTTTGACTCATTCTCAAAGTCTACATTTTTTAACACAAGTTATCTCATTACACAATTTTCGACATGTTCTGTATCATTGACTGTGTCACGGATGTACTGAAAGCAATAGACGCCGCGCCAGTTTCTTCAATTTAGCCCAAGAGTGAGCAGTATTGATGCACAAAGAAGAGCACGACCACTGTACTACATTGAGCAATGCTGTAATTGTCTCCGCTTCAAAGACATTTTCGGTAAAATTGGACAAATGTTTCGTAAATTAAATTTTAAATTTTAATGTTTTTTTTTTTTTACTTTGAAATTTAAAAAAATTTTAAGCTCCTTCAGGGCTCCTTGGACGTTGGGGGCCCCATGTAGCTGTCTGGTTTGCCTACTAGAAGGCACAGCGCTGGTTATTGATAACCTAATTTACCTAGCAATGAGCCTTTCTGGTTAGATAAAAGGTAAGCCTTTTTACACTTTTATAAACTTGTTTATTAACATGTGCGCTAAAATTTCTAAACTCTAAAATATTTTTTAAACATTTTTTAATATTTCACTTTTTTTAAATAATTTTTTAATAATTTCTAAAAATTGGATCTAGCTTTTTTAAGTTTAAGTGCAAAAATTCTTAAGTAAATGACCATAGCTAATATTTTTAGAAATATTAGGCATGGATACAAAGGCAGATCAAATGGGAGGGGGAGGGATAATGGGGGCGATTACCTTCTTTCCCTTAGATTTTTGTAATTTATATATTTCACAGAGCATGTTGTTTGATAATAGAAGTAAATTAGGGAAAATGAGAGAACAACAAGTTGATAAAATATTTTTTGTACTATTTTTAACTACACTAATATTCATCAATAAATTTTATCAACATTACGCTTCCTAAAAGAAATTATCCAATTTTCCCCTCAAATTCCTTTTTAAAAAGGAGTTTTCACCATCATGGCTGTGCAAAATTGTGCAACTAAATTACAAATGTGAAGAGAATCTAATGGAAGGCCATATCTTTCACAATACTGAGCTGCAGCTACAATCATAGTTTCATCATTATCACTTCTTGTTATTTTATTCTTTGTCTCAATGTTTCTTTAGGAACAGAACATTCTTTAGCTGCATGATAAACAGTCTTTTTTTCTTCACATACTAACATAATTGCTCTTTCCAAACTGTCAGCAATGTACTTGGGTTTTATTTTTTTATTGTTAAGGCGAGTTTCCACTCATTCGTTTTTTTACGGGAACGGGAAAGGGACGGGAAAAATAATCACGTGGGCATGCGTAGTATAAGTTTTAATATGTCCGAAGGAAAACTACGCATGCTCACGTGATTATTTTTCCCTTTCCTATTCCGTTCCCGTGAAAAAACAGATGAGTGGAAACTCACCTTAACATCTTGGCATTTTTAAAATACTTTTTAAAGTATTATTTATGAAAAATTTGTTAAATTTTTAAAGAAATAAATTAGCATTAATTATAAAATATCACAAAAAAATATTTTATCACCAAATAGGTTTTATATATTATTTTATTTGACCTAGGTGAATATATTGTTTCATACAAAAAAATACATGTTTCATAATATAAATTTCAAAAATTCTAAAGAATTATTAACACGAAAATAGTTAGGTCTGATGAAACTAATAGGTTTATAATGTTACTAACAACAAATTCGATAATATAATTACATATCATAACATTTTACACACAAAGACCTACTTTACCCCGCCTGATTATATTTCAAATTTTAAACAAACCATGTGCGTTAGTGTCTTAAAGGTATACTATTCTTAAAATATAGTAATTTAACTTTCTAATTAACTATTTTTCATACGCTTTTGCCTTAATTGAATATAATTTCTCTGAAGTTTAAAAACGGAGAAAAAAATGACTTTGCTTATGTATCTAGCAGTTTAGCTGAAAAAGTGCCGTTTCTAACAGCATAGCTAGGTTATATCTTAAAATTAGTTAGCCTAATATGTTATAACAAAGTGGTAAAAATTGCAACTTTATACCTAAAGCCGTTATCAATATAACAGATAAATATGAATTAGACCCAGATTACCCCGTAGACCCACAATACCCCACCCTACCCTATAACTAAACTATTTGCGTCAGCTAAAGCAAGAAAGATAAATTTGTAATAAGATGTACATAGATTTAATTTGTGTACTTTTTTAACCAATTTTAAAGTTTTTTTTTAAAAAAAAATAAAACAGAACCAATCTATCGTTGGAGAGGGGCGCAAAATTGATGATTGCTATGGGTGCTATTTACCCAAGGTGCGCCAATAAACTTGTAATTGTAAATTGTTCTAACATGTTTCCTCTGCATCTATCTTTACTTACTATCAACTCAAAATAACTGTTCTAATGGCAGTATACAAAAACATTTTAAACAATCCTTACATACGCCATTTTCGTCACAAACAGATTCGTTCTATTTTAATAATTTGTATTAGTTGTTAGTACAACCTTTTGGCGGCTCATAGAGTTTTGATGGTTTTTATTAATGATTCACAATGATTTTTCATAACCTTTTCTCTAACAAACAAGGAAAAAAATGTTTTTTTTTTAGTTTAGAAAAGTTTTGATTTGAATTATCTTCATAATAAATTTCTGAAAAGTTGAATTAGTCTAAAATTATAAAACGTATCAAATTTTTAAATTCAATTCATAAAATTTATTTGATTTGAATTAAAAAAACTTTCGAATCAATTTTCAAGGAACTCAAACTCATCTTAGCTTTTTTAAATTCTTTTTTACTTAGCCTGACGTTGGTTTCAACATTCTCGTAATATCTCAGTACGAAGTAATATTTCTGCACGAAACAATGTATTTTTCAATGTAAAATATTTTTTTCCAAAAGTTTTCCTATTACTGTAAAGTATTGTAAATACTTTTACAATTAGCTATATTTACAATTGCGCGTTATCTTAACGATTGTCATAATTTAAAACCACGAGAAACAACAAATCAGAAACGATTTAAAAAAAAACAACTTAATTATAACAATATGTTATGGTACGAGTATAATATCAATGTAACTCTATTTTTTTCTTATGCACTATTAATTTACTTTACATATCAAGACTTGCAAATAACGAGAAATGAAGATGAATAAGTAATAGACATATCATAGACGAGTCTAAACGATTTAAGCATTTGTTACAATAAACAATCGAATTAGTCAAACTTATTAATGGTTTTTCAATGTAACTTTCGTAAAAAATCTTCAAAATAAATTTTTGAAAGTTATTCGAATTGTTTTACAAAAGATCTATAGTATAGATCCAACTTTATTTTTTTTTTCAATTTTAAATATACTTTTATATAATTATATTACGAATAAAATTTTCTTGGTAACTTGAATTATCAAAATATTGGAATTTCTCCTTATCAAGTTTTCAAATTTTTTATTTATTATGTATTATTGATTTGATAAAAAATAAGATTGGTTTTATTAAAGAAATAATGGATAGCTGAAAATAGCCATTAGAATAAAATGATTGAGGGTTTGTGTTTGGGTTGTCATCATATAATTTTTTAAGAAAAAAATATTGCCAAAACATTTTTGTTTCTTAGTAATTTTTCATCTATTATAAAAATTTAAGGTTGACACTCATAACTATCAAAACTTTCAACAATTTATTGAAATGTTCTTTAAGTATATATTAGATTGTTTAGATAGAATAAAGAACTGATAATGGCAAAATTATTTTATTCTATCTAATTTAATTAAGATATAGTATTTTATTTGATTTATTGTTAAACTTTGGCTGAATTTCAGAGAAATATTTTTTTTTAATATGTAAAAAATAAACAATTTTTCTAAATAACTGTTTTTGTTCCGTAATACCATTAATCTTGTGAATCTTTTGATGGCCTGTTTGTCGTGTATTAAAAAAATTAGTAAATCAACTAACTAACAGGTTTTTTCAAAAATTTGAATATCCAAAGGGTTAGACTCAATATTGTACAGTTCCTTTTGCTGTCTGCTTCATGCTTATATTGCAGAATATTTATGTTGAATGTTTTTTTCAAAATAAAACTGGCCAAAATCAATTATCTATCAGTTTTTTCACTTCAGTATTTTAAGTTATAAAAAACATAAACATTACTATTACAAAACATTATACAAAATTGTCTGCAATAATTATAATAATTATGGATTATTATATTACTGCTATTTATTTACTCAGGATATATATATATATATATATATATATATATATATATATATATATATATATATATATATATATATATATATATATATATATATATATATATATATATATATATATATATATATATATATAATTTTGTTTACTTTACAGCATAAAAGCACTAAAAATGAATAATAAAATTGGAAATCTTTCTGTTGCTGACATCTGTGTGATTGCAGCTTATTTTTGTGGAGTTGTAATTGTTGGAATATGGGTATTTTTTTGTAAATGTATATATATATATATATATATATATATATATATATATATATATATATATATATATATATATATATATATATATATATATATATATATATATATATATATATATATATATATATATTGTTTTTAATATTTTCCCCATAAAATTGCTATTAGGTTGATTTTATAAACAATACTTTGTGGAAATGATTTACAAACTTTGTTTATGAGTGATTGAGATCGTGGGATCTGAAAAATGTATCTCATCTCCAGTGAAAAAATTGATCTTGAGATCTGTTAGAATTAGAAGTTCGTTTCGTAAAACAGCACATCTTTATGGAGTCAGTAAGTCTGCTGTAAGAAGAGATATGAACTTACTAGATCTACATAGAATAAAAATCAATCAGGAAAGCCACCCAAAACAACGCATTATCATGATGAAAAGCTTGTGATACTAAGCAAAGGAAATCCCCTTTTATCAAGCAAGTTTATACTGTTTGGATCAGATGGAATCAGGTATGTTTGACATCCAGTAGGTATAAGACATCCAGTAGGTACAAGATACGATCCAGTAGGTACAAGATACGATCCTAAACACCAACTGCCTACCGTAAAACATGGAGTTATTTTAATGGTTTGGGGATGTTTTAGCTGAGCTGGAGTTGGTCCACTCCATAGAATTACTGAGACTATATATCAAGAAAAGTACAAAGATATATGTAAGGCTATTATATTATCTTATGCAAAGAAGAAAATGCCTTCAGGATGGATATATGAACAGTTGACTCTATGCCACATAGATGCCAAGCTATTGTTGATTGTAAATGATTGTAAAACACAAAAAACCATCGTCATCACCAAGTTCTCTAAACCTATCATTTACTAATATTCGTGGTCTTCGAAGTAACTTTTCTTCTGTTGAGTCTTATCTCTTGCAAAGTTCACCAGACCTACTTGCTCTTTGTGAGACTAATTTGAGTTCGGCTGTCCCATCTTGTGATCTTAGTGTTGATGGTTATCTTCCTTTAATTCGTAAAGACTCCAATAATCACATGCTTGGTCTGGGCATCTACATTCGTAAGAACTCACCCATTTGTCGTGAAACTAGGTTTGAATCTACAGACTATTCATTTATGTGCTTTCGTTTAGCACAACTTCACTCTATCGCCTTTCTCTTTGTTCTATATCGCTCTCCTTCATCCCAAGATTGCACTATTCTTGATGTTATTTCTGATCAAATTGACCAAGCCCTCTCTCTTTATCCATCGGCCAATATCGTCGTTGTTGGTGACTTTAATGCCCACCACACCGATTGGCTTGGCTCTAGTGTCAGTGACTCTGCTGGCGTTAAGGCCCTCAACTTTTGCCTTTCTCAATCTCTAACTCAAATAGTCAACTTTCTAACTCGTTTTCCAGACAACCCTAATCATTTACCTTCTCTACTCGACTTATGTCTTGTTTTGGATCCTAGTCAGTGCTCAATTTCTCCACATTCACCCTTAGGTACTTCTGATCACGGTTTGATCTCTCTAAAACTATTATCAAATTCTTCTACTTCATCAGAATTCCCCTATCATCGTACCACATACAACTACCTTAAAGCTGACTGGGACTCTTTCCGTGATTTTCTTCGTGATGGCCCTTGGGTAGAAATCTTTCGTCTTCCTGCTGACAAATGTGCTTCTTTCATAACTTTGTGGACTCAGGCTGGCATGGAATCTTTTATTCCCTCTCGACGATTCCAGGTCAAGCCTCACTCTTCTCCTTGGTTTTCCTCACATTGCGCTGCAGCAATTTCTAATCGAAACCGTTACTTCCATATCTATCAGCAAAACAATTCTCCAGAAAACAGACATCTGTTCACTATCGCCAGAAACCATTGTAAAAAGGTTTTGTCTGACGCCAAAGCTTGCTATTCCCAGGTCATTAAATCTCGTATCTCATCACAAAAATTAGGCTCTCGAGACTTCTGGAGAATCTTTAACAGTATCAATAATAAGGGCAAATCTGTTATTCCTTCTCTCTTGTATGGTTCAGACTTTGTCACCTCACCTAAAGACAAAGCTGAATTGTTTGCTAAGAACTTTTCATCAATATCATCTCTTGATTCCACTAGTTGCGTTTTACCTGACATAGCCGTCAAACAGGTTGATCCCTTGCTTGACATTTGTATCACTTCAGCTTCTGTATCTAAAGTAATTTCCTGCTTAGACTCTTCAACAGCTTGTGGTCCTGACAACATTCCTGTTGTAGTCTTGCAGAGGTGTTCTCCTGAGCTTTCATCCATACTCTCTAAACTATTTAACAAGTGCTTATCAGAGTCTTGTTTTCCATCATGCTGGAAAGCAGCATCTGTTATCCCTATTTTCAAAAATTCCGGAGAGCGATCTGATTCATCTAACTACCGTCCCATTAGTCTTCTTCCTGTCATAAGCAAGGTTTTTGAATCTTTAATCAACAAACACTTAATCTCTCATCTTGAATCAAATAACTTACTTTCTGATCATCAATATGGATTTCGGTCTTCTCGTTCTACAGCTGCTGTGCTAACAGTAATAACCGATAGGTTTTACCGTGCATTAGATAGAGGTGGAGAGGTTAAGGCTATCGCACTTGACATTTCTAAAGCTTTTGATAAAGTTTGGCATGCTGGTCTTCTCCATAAGCTTTCTTCTTATGGTGTAGCTGGTAACGAATTTAAGATTATTGAGTCCTTTCTTTCCAATCGTAGTATAAAAGTTGTCCTCGATGGACAACACTCTTCTTCACATCCTGTAACTTCAGGGGTTCCTCAAGGTTCAATCCTTGGCCCTATACTCTTTTTAATTTACATTAACGATCTTCCAGATATTCTCACATCTAAGGTGGCATTATTCGCCGACGACACTACCATTTACTCTTGTCATGATAAGAAGCCTACACTCTCTGATTCCTTGGAGGGGGTATCTGAGCTTGAAAAGGATCTCACTTCTGCTACAGCATGGGGCTCACAGTGGCTGGTGAACTTTAATTCAGATAAAACTCAATTTTATTCGGCCAATCGTTATCGTAATAATTTAGATCTTCCTATATTTATGAATGGTAATGTACTAGATGAGTCATCTACCATTCATCTTCTAGGATTAACTCTTACTTCTGATCTTTCTTTTAAACCGTATATCAAATCCATTGCAAAATTAGCATCTGCTAAGGTTGCATCTCTTTATCGAGCTCGACACTTTCTTACTTCAGATTCTATTCTCTATCTCTATAAATCTCAAATCCGTCCCTGTATGGAATACTGTTGCCACATCTGGGGCGGATCTTCTAATGATGTTCTTTCTCTTTTAGACAAGGTGCAAAAACGAATTGTAAACATAGTTGGACCTGCTCTGGCAGCCAATCTCCAACCTTTGTCACATCGTCGTAATGTTGCTTCTCTTTCTCTTTTCTACAAATACTATAATAGGCACTGCTCTAAAGAGCTAGCGTCCCTTGTGCCATCTACTAAAATTCATTCTCGTGTTACTCGCCATTCAATTAAGTCTCATCCTTTTTCTGTGACTGTTCCTAAGTGCTTCAAAAACTCTTATTCTTCTAGTTTTTTTCCTCGAACATCAGTTCTTTGGAATTCGCTTCCTTCATCTTGCTTTCCTGATTCATATAATTTGCAATCTTTTAAGTCATCAGTCAATCGTTATCTTGCTCTACAGATTTAGTCTTTTCTCTTCCAGTAACTTCCAACTCTTATAGTGGTTGCTTGCAGCCTTGTTGGAAGTGAAGATGTTAAAAAAAAAAAAAAAAAAATGATATCCTACAAAATACTAATGTGATTTCGCTTTTATATAAATTTGTGATTAAATATTGTTGAAAAATTTGTACTACTTAAGTACAAATTCAAAATCAAAAATCGTTGATTTGTAACCCAATTTTATAATGTTAATTAGATAATCATTATTTGTTCAAAACATAATTGTAAACTTGAAAACCTTTTGGTGTATAGTATGTTCACTTTAGTGAAGTATGTGCTGATATATAAGTAAAATTCCATATTTTTTTGCGTGTCCACAATATATATATATATATATATATATATATATATATATATATATATATATATATATATATATATATATATATATATATATATATATATATATATATAATACATATATATATATATATAATACATATATATATATATATATATATATATATATATATATATATATATATATATATATATATATATATATATATATATATATATATATATATATATATATATATATATATATATATATATCACCCCCAGCCAGAATTCATGATAACTGTCTATAGCAAACCCAGAGAAATGGCTGGGTGCATATGAAAGCCCTTAATGTCAGGATTTCAAAAATATAAAATTTAAAATCCAACTATTTCGTTTCGGAAAATAGAATGAGTTTTTATTAATATTATATTACAGCAACTAGACAAATGACAGCATAACTATTTTTTGCATTTTTACAGTATACAAAAAAATTTAAGTGAATGATAATTTTATTATTGCATCACTAAAACATTGTTTTTTTTTGTTTTTATGAATTTGCAAAAAGAGGATACCTGTATTTCTTACATAAAATGATTTTTTTATTATTGGTGTTAAAATTACAGGAAAGGACTATTCTCAATACATCAAAACAAAAAGCCACTCATTTTTACGATTTTGGAATCATTTGGTCTTTCAAAATGCCCAATCAAACTAAAACTCACAAAGATTGCCAGAAATCTGTGTGTTTCTTGTGCTTGAAAAAAAGCATAAGGACAATTTCACTATCAGTGGTACAGGAAATTTCAAGCTTATTTGAACAAAAGATTAACTTTGAAGTTGAACGAATGCCAAATGGGATTTGTGAAGGATGTTGTTCAATACTATGCAGAAAACTTGATGGAAAAGAGGTTGTCATGCTAAGACTCTATGACTTTGAAACCATCAGTGTCAGGCGACCTGCAAGCGGACTGATCTGTGATTGCATTATATGTCAAGTTGGGAATCTGAAGCTAATTGAATCCCATCCTCTTGAAAAAGTCAGAAAAATGACAACATGTAAAGAGAAAGCTGTGAATAAAAATTCAATGTCTGACCACAGATGTTCCAAATGCCTCTCGGTTCTGGGGAAAAGAATTTCTCATGTATGCACTAAAGCTAAGTTTCGTGAAAATATGAGACTTTTGGCATCAAAAGGCAGCACAGTTGCTCAACAAATTGCAGCTTCTACAATACCTGGCACAGATGCTTTCCCTCAAGGAACAATTCGTCTGGCTCAAGCAAAAGGTGGACTACCTTTATTTGTCACCCCAGGTAAAAATGACTTTATTGTAGCATAATTAAATGTATTCAATTCTATTAGTTTCCAATGCCAAAAATGTGGTTTATTCTTGAGAAAAGTTAATTACTTTAATAGTGACAACTTGTAATATTTAAATAAAATTGCCAAAATAATTACTTAAAGGTCCTTCAAGTGCAAGGAGACTCTTTGGATCAACATCCTTAGTTACTGCATGGGATCTCGTTCACGTGCAAATCAATACTGGATTGTCAAACACAAACGTGAAAAAGTTAGCGACAACTTTGAACCAAGTTTCAGCAGTCCGAATTACTGAGCCAAACATTCGCTCCAAATTTTTTGCATTAGGAAACTGACTTGCCGGATTTTTTGATCAAACAGATATTCTACCTGAACAAGGCAATGGAGTTATTGGCAAGAAACTTGTAGTTCACTGTAAAGATCTGCAAGAACTGATAAATGAAGTTCTTTTGTCACAAAAAGTCTTCACCAAGCCACTAATCAAACTTGGCATTGATGGTGGTGGTGGATTTCTGAAAGTCACACTGGGAGCTATTGAGAAGATGCCTTGTGAAGATGATCCTCCTCCATGTAAGAAAAACTTGACTACAAACTCTTCCAAAAAAAGGCGGCTGCAATCGTCAGCTTATCATTGCAATTGCTGAAGATTTATCTGAAACCTATTTGAATGTCCAAAATGTTCTGTTTCTCATCAAGCATAACCTTAAGGATTTTGTTGTTTCTTGTGATCTGAAGCTGGCCAACATCCTCTGTGGACTTCATATATATATAAGTCTAAAAAATAAAAAAAAATTTTTCTGCATAAAAGTTATCACTATAAAAGTAATCATTAAATATATACATGGTAGTCACAGTTCTGCAATATCCATAAATATAAAAAGTTGCAATTAATATAGCAATAAAATTAATTGTTTTTATACTATATAAAAAATTAGTATTGTTAGTTTTAATTTAATTTTTAACAACAAGAGAAAATTTTCTATGATTTATTATTTATTCAAAAGGTTTAAAATTTTAAATTTTGAGACAAGTACATGAGGATTTCAAACTTAATGTGTATCTAACATTAATAGATATTGATCTTCACACAGTTCTTGGAAGCCTTAAATATCAATTTTAGAAACTTCTGAATGGATGTCTTTCTATGAGAACATTTATTCAGAAGTTTCCATCTCTCCAAACCTTTAATCTCAGACAATATGGAATGAATTTAAGATAAAGGTTTATTGTTTACTTTAGTGTGGGCATCATTGGTGTGATAATCAAAAATTCTGAGAACAAGCAGCAAGTTTTTTCCCTGGGTATTTTTTCCTGGCTAGTTTATTGAACAATTAAAAAGTTTATTAAAATCAAAGCAATTGTTGATATTGATTGTTGATTGTTGACATTGTTGGTGGTTAAATATTTTAAAAGATACAATAAAAGTTTGCTCTTTTTTTATTTTGTTTTTTGCAATTAATTTTGTTTATTGCATTTTTGTTGATGATTGCTAAATTAAAGTTTTTTGAGTTTATATTTGAAGAGTTAAATCTATTTCTGATATGGTTTTTAAAATGATAAACCAATAGTTCAATTTAATGTTTTAAAAGTATATTAATATACTTTTTTTTTATTAACCAATTAGTTAATATTCTCATTTATTTTTATTAAATTGTTTTGAAAAGGTCTGATACAATTAAAAGATTACAAAACTAATATTTAATTTTGCAAAACTCCAATCATTTTTGTGTAAATGTTTCTTAATTTAGTAAAAAAAAAAACGTTGTGCCAAGCTTGTGGCTTATGGTATTCTCAATGCCAGTATAGGGTTTCTATCAAGAAAACCTTGATACCAGTTGTAGCCAGCTTGCTTGTGTTATCCCAGGTGTGGAGTTTGGTGTCATATTTGTTGCAGAAAAGAAGTATTCCAATTTGTGCAGTTGCACAACAGTTAGACCACATTACATTTATGTTTAAGATGTCTTCCAAAGTGATACCAAGTTCTTTTTTCGGATCAGTTGAAGAAACATGTTGTACTTTGTACCCTAAAAGAGATGCTATGTTTTTTCTGCATTATCTTTTCAATGCCATTACATTTATTCTGAACTGCCTAGAAAATATTTTGTAGCCCCCACTATTTTTTTAAAAGCTTTTACAGCTACTTTAACTTTTTTAATTGCTCCTATTTTAGCTGAGTACTTAGGTAGCGTCTGAAAGAATAAAGGTGAATAAAATAAATACATTAAAAATAAAATTTAAAATGTCACAAAATAGAACAATGTTTATTAAATTGTTAGCTTAAAAGCTATTTGTTGAAAAAAAAATAATAATAAGGCCGCTTCACAAAGGTGCCAACCCAACAGTCTTAAAATTTCACTAGAATCTAAATTTGCAAGAGATAAAGTATACCGCTGGGGTCAAGCATCCTACTTTTTTCCTTCCCATTTTAAATTTTGAAATTGGTTGTAAAAGCACAAGTGATCATAAGACAGATTTATACTGTCAAAAGCAGCAGGTCTGATGTTGTAGTTGTATCAAATCTAAATGGTTGCATTTAAGTATGATTCCTTTTGATGGGTGAACATATTTACTGGGGTAGAAGTTACTACAAAGGTTTTTCAAATTAAGTTTATGTACTCTCATGGTCCATCTAAAAACTTCATTTCTAAACTTGTGAGAGATGTCTGTTGGGTACTATTGTCGAATTTAATTATGGTTATTAATATCCTAACAACAAGATCTGGGATTTATCTATATAATTTTTTTTTCATTTTGAGTTTTTAATTTTCTAAGTTTCTAAACATTATTTATTAGTCAAAGTTTTTCTTTGTCTTTTAGTTAATTTGTCTTTGCTGTTATAGTTATACAAAAACAAAATTCATTTTTTTATCAAACCTTTATTAAAAAGTTTTAAGAAGTAATAAATTCAAGTACAATTTTACAATGTTTTAGAAAACACAGTTCTCCAATTCTTTATGATAGCTCTATGTATTCAAATCTTTTGGAGAAAAAAATAAAATTGAGCTACTAAATTGAGCATTTTTATATTTTAACTTGCTCCAGTAAAATTATGTAAAAGTAAAATTACATTTGTTTAATACCTTCTCAGACATAAATCATTAAAAAAAGATTAAATATGAGATAAACCTATTCTCTATTTAAAAAAGAGATACAAAGCAAAAGATTTTTTTATAGTTTTGATAAAAAATCAAGCAATGGATTATAGCTCAAAGCATTGGCAGCATTACCTTCTAGGCAAAATCTCTTGTAATCGTCTTGTTGCATAAAATTTGATAAATGATTTCATATAATTAATTTTATTTGAATGTTGCTAGTGTTTTTTTTTCTGGCTATTTTTTTATTTTTCAAAATTAAAAAGTAGTCAATATAAATTTCAAGTACATATGACCATGTTATGAGCGCTGTACACCTTTTGTTACACCTATTCCTTGTGGTTTGACTCGGTTCTAATTCAAATTTTTAATTTTGGGAGAATTTAGCAAACAAATCTTTTTTTTTTTAATGTGTTATTAGGATTATTTATATCACTATTTCTTATTTTTTTTATGTATTATATATAAAGACACATAAATAAAATATAATGGTATGAATAATTTTATTAATACATTTAAAAAAAAAGGATTTGTTAGCTGAATTCTCCAGCAATAAAAAATTTCAGTTAGACCCTTGTCAAACCAGCAAAACATTTTGTCACAAAAAAACAGCAACAATTATAGCTAACTTTTCAGTATTATGAAGATAATGTATTGTTTGGTTTAATAGCTTATTATCAACCTATTTATTTAATCACAAGGAGATCTATTGATTCTAAAAAATCAATTCTTCAATTGTGTGATGACAATATTAAATTAGTCTTTAATCTTTTAAATTTAGCTAATCAAATTACATAGGTTTCACTTCAAATATTTACACTTACATTTTGTTGCACGGAATATTAGTTGTATTAGCAGAACATTGGACTAAAAAATTTATATGCATCTCTTTTTAAACATTTGTTTTTTAAAAATTTGTTTTAGTCGATGTTTCAGTCAAAAAGAGGCACAATTGATGGTTACTTTCTGGCTGGTAGATTTATGACTTTTTTGCCAGTAAGTTGGTATATAGTTTGTTATTTATTTCATGTATACTTTAATTGTTTGTACTTTTTTATATATCTTTATATATTTCATATATATGTATTTTAATTTTTTAAATTTTTTTACTTTTATACATTTTCATATAGGGTTATTTAATATGAAATCACCTAGTTTTTCAAAAGTGTCCCAGGGTAACACCTCGAGTTTGCTTCAAATTTTGAACACCCACAGCTTTTAAGAAAAAAAACACAATATTAAAAATTTCAGCTTGATTGACCAAACCATTCAAAAGTTATAATTGAATTGATATTCATCAAAATCTGAAAAATTTGAGATTTGAAATCTGGAGCTTACAGTAAATTTTTTCGATTTACCAGATCATAAGTTTTTAAATAAAATAGATTATTGCCTGAAATTTTTACGGGCAATAGTTTTTCAACCAAATTATCTATTTTTGCAGGTGTTTTTGACTGATTTTAAACAGTTTTTGAGTTCTTGTACCTAAAAGTTCTATATATAGATAATCACCAAAAAAAAATTAAAGACCTATACTCTATCTTATGACACGATTTTAGCATTTTGAGTGCAATGCTTTTTTAGTTTAAAATAATACCTAATAGCGCAAGTTATTACTTCAATAAAATAAAAAATGCTGCGAGAAGAAGTGTATATACACATGAAACACAAGTACACCAATTACTTTATCTCTGATTTATATAACTCATAATACTTTTATAATCATTATTAGCAAGTGTGCAGTCACTAGCACTTCTACCTACTTTTTTTTTTTTGCCAATTTAATATTCTTCAGCAAATGGGTATCATAGACAGTATTGCTAGATATTCTCCTTAAAAATAATTTCTCTCCACCTGGTGCAAAACTTTGATAGCTTCTTGTGCCTGGGGCTGTGCTCATTTCTTTATATATTTTTTTTAGGTTAAAATAAGTTTTATGATTATTGATATTATCACTTGAAATGTAAAGTAATTTCAAACTTTTAATGTTTTTTTCAGCCCATGTAAACAGTTCATTTGGTGTGAGAATGTGGTTTGCATTTGCTGCTTGTAGACTCACTTTTGCTCTTCTCTTTTTATAGTTCCTCCTATTCCATCACATAGACCTTTGCTATGGGATGTAGCAAAGAATTGGCTCAGCATTCATATTGTGATCTTCAAGATGGTACATGTGTTGATCTAATTTTCTTTTTTCTTCTGATAAGTAGGAGGGTTGTGCTTCTTTGATAAAGTGGTGGTGACAAAGATCATACACTTAGAGTTTCAATAAACTCAATAATGCTTGTTTGGACTGTGACAAGTGCAGTTCGGTCAGTTGACACCCATTGTTTGTATATGATATGATCATCATAATCATAATCATTATTTTCAAACACATTTATCCAAGTAAGTCTTTAAATTTATTTTACCAGGCAGTTGAAACATCCAGCTTTGACTATCAATATTACAAACACATACTTTCATCAAATCTTTGTAATATATTAAATGGCCCTTAGGTAAAGCAACGCACATCAACTTTTTTTATGATAAGAACATACGCAAACTTAGTGACTTCCACTACTGTCAACTGTAATGCACCACTTTGGTCTTAGTTCACAGAACTTGCTGAATCCAACTTTGTGTTTAGGGTATAATTTCTCAAACTCAAGATAAAGTTCCTTTAATTGAACTAATATTAAAGATTTTTGTTTATGAACTTTTACATTATTTATACGCACAGAAACAAAGTCTTTTTTTCCTGAACATTGTCTTTTTAACTCTTCGGATTCATAAACTTCAATGACTTTTTGTTTAACAATATCTTCCAAAGGCTGTCCTATTTTAGCCTCAGGTTTAGCAAGTATTCCTTTTTCATTTTTTCAACTTTCAAACTTTTTTAACAAGATGTTCTGAAAATGTTTTGCAAGTTTTTTTTAGTTGACCAACTATCAGTAGTTAATGCTAGATGTTGAACTTCCTTCAAACTTATTTTCATTTTATTTTTTATTGCATTTGGTCTAAATCACCACAGTTTATACATTTTTGCTCCTTTTCCAATACTTTATCTTTTGGGTCTATATCCAATGCTGATGCTACTAGGCTTGTCATGCTTGTTGAAATTTTTTTAGCTTTTTGCTTTCCATATCCTAATTTTTCGTGTCTTAAATTCTTGAGTGGAGATATTTCCAATAAAGACACACTCTTATTAAGAACTGTCTTATCAAGGTCTGAACTACTCAAATCTTCTTTAGCAGCTTCATCTTGACTACTTTCTGTAATTTTTTCAGGTTTAAATTCATTCATACAGTTAGTACAAACTTTTTGACCAGGTTCAATCTTAAATTGATTTGCTATTGATATGTTGATTTAACACAATCCCTTGATAATTTTTTCTTGTGGACTTTAAATAGGATCACAACAGTATTTTTGAAGTGCTTCATACCTACAAATATAGGCTTTTTCATGGTGAAAACATATCTCCTCATTTGGTTCGAAAGTGTATCCTATCCTTTGCATTAAAACCTCAATATCAGTATCTTTTAGTCTTATTCTTCCTACCATTCTACAATATGACATTTTATCACAATCTTCATTTAAAACTTTTCCCACTTAACATTTCTCTGACATTTTTTACAATCAAGGGTTAAACGTGTTACATTATAATCTAAAAATAAACTTTTTAATATTTTTCCAGTAATAAAATTGTTAAAATGAAATCTCAAGTATAGATGTGATTAAAACTGTCTAAATGCAACCAGTAAACTATTTCTACATATACTATTTCTGCATACACAAAACTTTTAATTTTTGGTTCTTGCAATATTAAAAACTAAAATAATAAAAATCCAGAAAATACTGTGCAGATTAAGATTTGCATACAAACTCTTGAAGCAATTAAAAGTATTTTACACTCATTTTATAACCTTGTGAAAATTATATATATATATATATATATATATATATATATATATATATATATATATATATATATATATATATATATATATATATATATATATATATATATATATATATATATATATATATATATATATATATATATATATATATATATATATATATATATATATAAAGTATTTTAAATACAAACTCTTGAAGCAATTGAAGTATTTTAGACTCATTTTATAACCTTGTGAAAATTATATATATATATATATATATATATATATATATATATATATATATATATATATATATATATATATATATATATAAAGTATTTTAAATACAAACTCTTGAAGCAATTGAAGTATTTTACACTCATTTTATAACCTTGTGAAAATTATATCATAGTTATATTATATGCATAAAATTTAACAAATACATATTATAAAATCATATCAAATAAATTAAGTTAAGACACTAATGATTTTATTTTAGGAAAAAATGATTATATTTGTTTAGGTAAAAAGTAGAAATATACAAGTCATAGGGCTACAATCATGTCATTAGATAAAGTATAGATCTTTATTTTTTTTTTGGTGATTGTCTATATTTAGAAACTTACCAGTAAAAAGTTTCATAATTTATTTGAACTGTCTACCCTACTTTCTATGCCTATAAAGTGAATGTAATTTATCGTATTTTTTTAAAACAGTAATATTTTAACAGGCTGTTGCAAGTGCTAAAATAAATTTTAATACATAATTTTAATTTTTTCCACAAGGAGTTACTCTAAGTATGCAAAGGTAACAAAATATTGGCACAGCTTGTCTGTTGGTATTGAACTGTAGCACATTAAAGTTTCCAAAATTTTTTTCTATTATTGCGTTATTTAGCAACTTTGAGGTACAAGAACTCAAAAACTGTTTAAAATCAGTCAAAAACACCTACAAAAATAGATAATCTGGGTGAAAAACTATTACCCGTAAAACTTTCAGGTGATCATCTATTTTATTCAAAAAGTTATGATCTGGTAAAAATCGAAAAAATTTACTGTAAGTTCCAGATACTCAAATTTATATGATTTTGGTCAATATTAATTCAATTATAACTTTTGAACGGTTTGGTTAATCAAGATGAAATTTTCAGGATTGTGTTTTTTTCATAAAAGCTGTTGATGGA